GCGGCTGGGCAGGCGGTCATGGACTCTGCTGAGCAGAAGAAAGTGACGGGAGATGCGGGCGAGAGGAGGAAGCCTAAAAAGCTGGAAATACGGTCGAATAAGGGAACTGCTGAGCAGAAGAGGGCGACAGGAGATGTGGGCGAGAAGAGGAAGCGTAAAAAGCTGGAAATTCGGTCTAGTAAGGGAGCAGCAGTTGGAGAAGACAAAGCCTAAGTTTATGGTAATTACAGGAAGCTGGACCAGACCAAACCGGGAAGGTGCTTGTTTTGTGCCGCTCGCTCTGCCGGTATCGCTGACAGGAACCAGTCAAAGCAACGGTTGGTGTTGAACCAAAAGAACATTTTTCTGACCAACAAAATTAAGCATCAAAGTTCGACAATTGGTTAGGGATGCCCTTGGTCGAGCAGACACTGCGTAAAGAATCTCCATTCGAGCGGATATCTACGAAATTGCGGATATATATCCTCCTTTCTGGCGTAGAAAGGTGGGTAATACAAAACAGGAGGAAAGTAACGCTCGTATAACAAATGGAATTACATGGTCAATTGGCCAACCAAAGGGGAGCATGTGGGCTGTGCACTTGTATTCAACGGCTTGAATTAAATTTTTGCATGTATCTTTGTTTGCCACTTCATTGTCACGAAAAGCCTGCTTTGACGACAGAGATGCCCATAGTTCGAGATTCATGAGTCCTGATCGAGCTCATATTCTCGAGATTGAACATCTCGAGAACTGCAGCATCATCGATAAAGGCATCACTAGGAGGGTAAGATTACTCCGTGGGCTGAGGAAACAACTCCACCGGACACCGTAGGAGGCATTCGTGTCTAATATGCAACTCCGCATAAGTATTTTCCGAATTCAGCCCGTGCTCATCAGGTAAAAGTTCATTGAGAGCGAAGGCTCTAATGCATGTTTGCCGTTTGCAAGTCACTTGAAGTTCGAGCGTGCCATGCAATGCATGTATCTAGCGGGAACCATTGATGCTTTTCTGGGTGTTTGCAAGTCACATGAAGTTCGAGCGTGCTATGCAATGCATGTATCTAGCGGGAAGCATTGATGCTTTTCTGGGTGTTTCCAAACCATTTCTAGGTTTGGGAATTCCCGGAGACGTTGGACTGTAAATTGCAAAGATCCGAGCCAACCAAGAGCTGGATGGAAGCCAAAGTGGGCGGCAGCGGCCAGACATACTATGCAATCTTCTGTGTCTTTGTCAGCACGATCGCTGATATATGAGATCAAGCGTGGATAAATCGAACGTTTCTTTTGGCCAAGCCACTTTTATGATATCTTATCACGCATAATTCAATATGGTGTCGGCTTTTGGTATCTTTTGGCAGAGAATTTGGATGCTAAGAATGGTTGAAATGATCCGGCATTTCAAGAGATACGCATATCATCCCATACTTATCCCAGCGATTATTAATTCGACCCACTTCGTCTATCATTAAGACAAATGGCAAGACGTTACCAGAGGAGTTAAGGAGCTGGAAATGCGGACCGGAGTGCGGGAATTCTCTGAGCCATCGAATGAAGACTTCATTGCAAACACCCATTCGCTTATACTCTCTTGCTCCCCTGCCTAACCAATATAGACCCGGTAAGCGTCCCCTTGAGGTTATAGATAACTTTACGCAGGCAGCATCCAAGATGCGCCTGAATTTGGGAACACAGAGGTGGTCCAGAAGTGGGATCCCTGGAAGAGCCGCAAATTAGGACCTTTGAGAGACCCAGAAATAGGTCTGTTAGACAAAGTAATAATGTCACGAGTAACATGAATAAGTGACTCGGTTGCTGTCGTGGCGACTTGTCAACGACGCTCATTCCTCTGAGTGTGATGCAGTACAACAGGAAGGTCGTGATGTGGAGCACCGTTGTGGACCTTAGTCGTTCGCGCACTAATATGAACCTACCGGGTGGCCGGAGTGTGAATACCGCTATGAGGTTGGAGGATGAAGTGGATCTCAACAACGATAGCATCAACTTATGTGATCAACCTGAACCATAATTGAGCCTCATTTATCCTGACTCACTCGTGATACCCCCTGCTATACCCAACCCCGACTAATCTGATATAGTTCGCCTTGTCATGCCGGTAACATAGCTCTCTCCAATGTATTAGATATATATAATGATAACAATCGGGTTGAATCACGGTGTTTCTAGTGGAAAAAGGCATGAGCCATGAAGATTATATGGTAGGATGGATCTGCGCCTTGCGCGTAGAGATGGCGGCGCCGTGGGGGATGCTGGATCAACGCTATGTTGCTCTTTCATCTCGTCCGCACGACCATAACAATTACTTCTCCAGCCGGATCGATGAACACAATGTGGTGATCGCGTGTCTCCCAGCTGGAGTCACAGGCACGATATCGGCGGCTAGGGTGACAACACAGATGCTTTCCACTCTCCCGGGAATGAGATTTGGATTGATGGTCGGGATTGAAGTTGGAGTTCCTAGCGAAGAACATGATATTCGACTGGGGAATATCGTGGTCTGCAAGCCGACGGGGACGTTTGGGGGAGTTGATCCAGTACGACTTTGGAAAGACAATTCAAGAAGGCAAATTCATTCGAACGGCTTCACTCAACAAACTTCCAGGGATGTTGCTGGCCGCGCTGGCGAGCCTCGAGGCGAAGCATATGATAGAGGGCCATGAGATGAACAAGCATTTCTCGGACATGTTGAAGAGACACCCAAGAATGGCAAACAACTTTACATGTCCTGGTATAGGGCATGACTCTCTGTACAAAGCGACCTACTTTAGAACGAATATCTGGATGACGACGTAAAAAGCGTTGTATCCAGTGAGAACCGCAGGAGGTAGGGCCTCCAGAAGCGCAACTTATTAGACGGACCATCTCTCGAATACGGCCATAGCTGAGAGGGTGCACTGTGGCCTCCAAATCAAGTATCCATCTCTTAAGCAGATCTTTCTTGTGCAGGCGACAGCAGGAATTGTTGTTGACGCGCATTTTTACGCGTTTGGCCCCCTTTGAGGCGCGTAGCCAAGGTGACGTGAGAGGGATATTTGTGGGCTTCGAGGTCTAGGGTGGCCTGTTGAACGGATTCATCGTTTTACTTGAAGCATTTCGACGCGCTTTTGGTATAGAGGCGCTGACAAGGTGGATGGAGGGTGCGGGGACTTACCCACGCCGTGTGCACGGGCATCAGCACAGCCATCGCTACCACGCTCAGCTACGCTTTCCAGAAGGCGCAGTTTTCAGCTCGTCGTGGAATCCGTCATTTTCCCATTGTTTAATGCCATCATCCTTTGGTACAGGAAGATCTATCTGGCCGTGTAGTCCCATCTGGTTGAGTACCCACAACATCTCCGAGGACGCCTCAGGAAGATGATGGACCCGCTATCTATATCCGCCTCCATCGCCGGCCTCCTCTGCGCCGGCGCCAAAATCATTGAGGTCCTGACCCAAATATCTCAATTAACTGGCGCACCACCGTTATGCAAAGCAGCGCTGACGGAAGTTTGCGACACGGCTGCCACGTTGCGGCTAATGCAGAATTTCATCAACAGCGATTTGTCCGTACCCACGGAAGGGAGACAGCATGTCGCCTTGGAGCATTTGACAGTTTCGTTGGCGGGATGTGTCAGTACGAAAGATGAGTTGGAGACGGTATGTGATGATTTGGGGTTGGTGTACTCAAAGAGCGGCATCACGGGAGTGTTTGACCACCTGAGGTGGATCCGACAAGAGGAAAAGATCAAAGCCTTGATTCAACGGCTGCAAAATCATAAGTCATCGCTGAATTTGATTCTTACGATTGTGCAGTGTTCATCTTCAACGCATTTGCAGGACTCTGTCAACAAGTTATCCAATCTTGTCGAAAAGGCGCTTGTGAGTAATTCAACCATAGCTATGCGGCTAGCCCGCGGTGCTGGTGACTCGAGCTCCGTACCAACAGTCAAAGACGGTTCAGAATCTGACGAACTGTGCTGGCTAATCGACGGATCAGTGTGGAAATAGCAAGTTGTCCTATCTAATTCAGTGCGAGGAGCGCGCATTTACTACGGCTACAGGCCGAATTTTTGCACGCCCCCTGGTCGAAAACGCTAGTATTCGTACAAAACCGACTATGCAGAATAAAGTATAGATGTACACAAAATCGCCCAATTAGGACTAGTCTCTTTGATCCAAGCAGCTCAGCAAGATACTCAGAAGGCACTGCATCCCATGCAGCATTAATAGCTGCACGTAGCTCATCGTACTTGCGTAGAGTATCTCTATAGCGCTCTTGTATCCAATCCTTCATCCAATTCCATATCATCTCAATTGGATTCAAATCAGGCGAATATGCAGGCCATTGTACACATTCTATGCCACGTTGACGAAGATCTCGAATAGTGCCTCTAGCAGCATGAGCAGGAGCAGAATCTTGCATAAACGTCAAATCTCCTCCGTTTGTTTGAATCCAATTATCAATAACAGGGATGATGTGCTCTCGATATGATGCTTCTTTAATATTCCCCCATTCTTTTTCCCAAAAGATACCAGGACCTTTTGTATCACCATAAAAACAACCCCAAAACATCCAACCTTTACGTCGTTGATATCGTTCAACAATACATGTAGGATCCCACTCCTCACCAGGTCAACGTGTAACATACGTCTTTGTATGTTGATCCCCATTAACCCATGTTTCATCACTCAATAGTATTTTCTTCCATTGCTCGTACGTCCAATTGACGTGTTCATTTGCCCATTGTAAACGCGCTTGTTTATTCTTCTCCGAAATAGGGGGTTTACGACGTGCAATTTGACGTGAGAATCCTGCTCTTCGTAAAGCATTTCGAATAGCATACCATCCATTGACTTGTTCTAGTTTCGAGCCATTGCATCTATAATATTTTCTTTTATTACTTATACATCTAATTAACATGCTTATTTACCTATTATAAATACACTTATTAATTCTTCTCTAAAATAAGGGGTTTATGATGTATAATTCAACATAAGAATCCTGCTCTTCGTAAAACATTTCGAATAGCGTACTATCTAATATTAATCTTTATAGCAAGAGGGATTTGTACCCATGATGTACATTAATTTTCTGTAGAAGCACAAATCCATGCAATAATCTGTTCAAGTTCTTCGTTCGTAATTATTGAATGTCTGCCAGAGCGCTTTTTAGGTGTTAATCGATTTTGTATAGCATATCTAATTTGACGTCGTGTAAGATATGGCAGCTGGTCAAGAATTTCGTTATACGTATGACCTGCGTCATACAGCGTTTGGATTTGTAAAAGTTGATCTCAAGTAGTCTGAGAGGACTTTGAGGGATTCGGAGGGGTAGAAGGAGGAGGAGAAGGCATTGTAAATGCGCAGGATTCGAACGCGCAGAATTCGTTTCTGCTAGCTGCAGCTTTTCTGCTTCAGCGAATTTTCGTCTCCCATAGCTGTAGCCAACTGTCGATAGACTGCGATTTCGGTGCCGTTTTCAACGCATGGTATTCGCGTGCGAGTATTAGTCGTCGAGCCCTATCCGTAGGAGCCAGGCGCTTCTTTAGCGCTTGGAGAATCTCATACGGGGTATCCAGGCCGCGGATATAGGTCTGAAGGCCCCACGAGCAGTAGTATCTTGAATGTGATAGATGATATCTCGTACGGCTATACGATCCTGATCGTATCGAGCGAGATCCGTGCGGTATTCTGTTTGAAGAACCTTGTAGTGATCCTTCTCAGCGTCGTTCAATGCTGCGTATGATTCTGCTATAGGATTAATATCCTTATAAGTGGGTTTCTCTGGCCTTGTAGGAGGCCTCGGCGCTATAGCAGCACTGATATCGACCAGGTGGAAGATTCCCTGAACTCGGGCAGTTCTGCGTACTATTTCGTACCAATCGTCCCAATCCTTGGGGCCCTCGAGAACAAGAACGGTCTTCTGCGTGGTCATCATTGCGTATATGGCGAAATATATCGAATACGCGTATCAATTGGTCCAATTGGGGTTGAAAATAGAGAAAAAGCGCTCTGAATTCGTTCAATTGGGTCGTTTTTGCTGGTTTTTGTTGATTTACGCAAATGCTGCGAAATCCGGGCGCTCATAACTGTTGAACTGTGCTGACTAATCGACGGATTAGTGTGAAAATAGCAAGTTGTTCTATCTAATTCAGTGCGAGGAGCGCGCATTTATACGTACAAAGTTGCTATCAAGCGAAATAGCGCGAAACGCAGGTACCAAAAATACATGCGTGGCTGATGCAAAACGCGTATCAAATTTGTAACAAAACGCTGGTGACACACGTAGCAAAATAAGCGCAAACTGTATTTTTGGGTTCTACAGAATCTTTAGGTGACGACACAAACACAATCCGAGAGAGAGAGCAAGCATTGACCCCGCCACCGAAGGACCCCAAGAGCTACTACAGCGAGGCGACCTGCCCCTTCTCCTTCGACCAGATCCTTCAACAATCCTGGGTGTACCGCAAAATGCCACTCATTCTCTCTGACGGCCATTCCGAGTCCTCTAATACGACCAGGAGCAGGAGGCGCATTGCAGCATCTCTCTTTTCTGCCTATTCCTTGGCCGAAATATCTAACTACTCTCTCTTCTCGCTACCAATCTTCATTCAAGAAATCGACAATAAGACATGGTACGTCCAGGTGGGAAGGGGAGCCGTCCCGGAAAAGTCAGCCGCTGTGGTGGTGCCGAAATCTACCAGCCTCCTGCTCTCAATCAAAGGCCAAACAGGTAGTCACTTCGAGATTGAGGTGTTACCGACGGATACGGTGGATTATCTTAAGGAGAGGGTATGGGAGAAGAGGTTGGGATGGCCGCCTGACCAACAGGTGTTGTATTACACAGAGCGTGGTAGAGCATTTAGACTCCGAGACGGGATAACTATGGCTGGCCATGGCGTACATGGATACGGGGTCGTACATGTTCTACTGCGGTATAGAGTTGGTGGAAAGTTTATGGGTGGCTAATCTCCCTCCCGGTGTGGTAGGATACCTTGTCTGGTGGGCAACTGCGAGTTCTAGACAACTTAGAATCTGCGCATATGCCTATAATTATTCATCATTGTTCCAGCTGTGATCTTGAGCTACTGGTTGATATTCGAAATCGTTCCTAACCAAAATTGCACGAGTATTGATGTTTAGTCGCCTGCTCTATGCACACTGCCTGTGACGGTTGTGGCTAACGAAGTGTGGTGAAGGCGTGGCGGCGGTGCGGCCGTGGTGCAACCTGAGCAGATGCTGAGCCGAAGTTGAGCCGGGTGACCAATTCCTGAGTAAATCAGCAAGAACGGGCCAACCAAACTGGGCGCCAGGGGCGCGGTCAAGATTCGGTGCAGGATACCGCAGTTCTCAATCGCAACACAATCATTCATCTGCGACCCAATAGCCATTGGACATGTAGTACGTGCACGCGCCTCCTGAGGATTTCCACGTCAAAGCCGGCATGGTGTCCATCTCTGCGTTTCCAAACAATGGGAACTTTCAACGCTCGGATTCCTTTGATTATCAGACAAAACAAAACAACAAGACAATGAACACATACAGAGCAGACACAAGAAGACAAAGCAGCAACAGCGACACAACGCTTCTTTCTCTATAGCCCCCAATCGCCACAACCACCCATGTCAACAACTCAGATATATAACTGCATCTCCACCGCCCCCCCCAAACCAACTCCTCCACACCCTTCCCCCCATTTTTACTAACAGCCCAACAAGCAAACAAGCACCTAACAAATCCCCCCATCTCACATACCCCCACCCCAGCTAACCCAACCCAGCCAAAAAGGAAACCTCAGCAAACCATGTGCCAATTAAGCATCACCTACCACGCCTCGTGCATCCACGTCACCATCAAGCCCCTGACAACCTGCCATCCGCTGTGCCCTGAACCGGTCTGGACCGAGGGGCCGCGCCGCGATCTCTGCGCCGAGTGCCAGAAGCGGAGGGAGCAGGAGATCGGGAGGAAGAGGAAAGAGAAGCTGGCCGAGAAGATGGCCGCCGCCGGCGTTGGTGATGAGGTGGATGGGGATGTTTGGGAGGAGATTGAGCTTTGAGAGCTTGTGGATTGTAGATTTTTTTTGGGATGGGGGCATTGTTCGCAAGGAGTTTGGGAGATTTGAAAAGGGGGGCAAACTTCAGTTGTGAACTGAAGTGGCCGGCTCTGGTTAGTCGGTTGAAGGGTGTCGGAGTTGGGGAGGAGTTCGCTAGTTGGAGGTAGGTAAGTATATAGCGAGTCAATACAGTGTATATTCGCTTCATAGGCCCATTTCTTTAGCGTTCCCTGCCTTGGTTCGCTGCAGCTGCCCTTGACATGCGATCTCGTAGTGGGTCCAGCTCTTGGTCAGCGCTAACTTAGAAGATGTGATGTCAAAGCGCAAACCAGCAGGATGCCGTGGTTGCACATCTACAGGAGGCTGTGAATCTCCAGGTAGCACGGAAGAATGTAAGAGGTAGCAGCTCGACAATCACCAGAAAGGATCAAAAGGCGGGTGGAAAATAAAGCATATCGAATCCAAGATTTCAAAAGTGTACTTCGCAATCCGCTTTATCGTAACTTTTCTGGTGTTTCAAGCCAAGTGAAAACAGCCAACCGCATTCACGTCAGAGAGGAGAAGGGGGACATCGTTCAAAAAGTCCCGTTTGATTGACTGAACGTGTAGACGAACCTACAAATCCAGTCCCCAAGCCAGCGAAAAGTATAGCATATGCTTACTTACCATCATCTTCTTGAACAAACGCGAGGAAAGGTAGGTTAATTCTTGCTCAAACTCAAGAGTGCGGCCAGGAGCTTTATTCCAAAGACCGCGTGTGCCTAGGGCCCACTTTTTTCCCTGCAGAAATCACTTAGCGAATATATCAGAAGTGCAGGATACGAGAATCGTAGTCGTCTGTAGGAGGGTGGAATATACAAGGACACAGCATCTTAGAGAGGAAAACAAAATCTTCCTGGGATTAAGATGGAATCGTAAATCCATATTAGGGGTAGCGAAAGAAAGTGGATGCACACTCTATCATCCGGACTGACCGGCGAAGGTGTACAACGAGAGACAAATAGTAAACGATAGACCTACTCGACTTCCCGCCCTCCCAAGTCATCTCCTAACATAGCCTTTTCCGGCATGCTCCGGAAAACTAAATTTCGGCGCATTCTCCACCTCAATGATATCCGACGTCTTCTCATCGACACGCGCGTAGAAGAACGGCCAATCGATTCCCAGGCCAGCAAACTCTGACTTCCTCTTGGCCACTTTCACCTCGCTCTTCATTGAAGGCTTGGTAAAGCGGTAGTCTGGCTGTTGCTGTTTTCCCTCCAGTTCAGCCATCTTCTTCCGAGCGATAGGCATCACGGACGCCCGCACAGCATTGGTCGGGGGTGTACTACCCAAAATTTTCTCGTCCCCTCCAAGGTAACTGTACGGTTCGGGAAGTAAGCTCATGCACCGCCTCAGCTCTGTGGAGTATCGACGCGGAATTCGACTTTATAGCCTGTCAGACCGTATGGACCTCGAGAGCTGCCGAGGCAGACTGCAATGAGAAGTGAATGGAGCAAACGCAAGTCTTGCTGAATAAAAGTATCGTTGGCTTTTTCGGCGGCCCCAAAATCTCCAAGGTAGAAGTCGGGAAGGTGGTGTTCGCGCTTCGTTTGCTTCGCTTGCTCCGCTTGATCCTCGTCTGGCCAGTGGAGAAACACGTTCTGTGGAACGAGATCAAGATGCGTTGTCAAGCGCTCAAGGTGCAGACCTTCCAGAACTTCCAGCAGCTGTGTGAACATCTTCCAGATGAAAATCTCAGCAATTGGTGTACTGTCCCGGAAGAGCGTATAGAAAATTAGATCGTGGAGCGAGCCTCCATTACAGAATTGTGTAGTCATGGAGTAAGACGTCCTACCATAGTTAGTCCAACCAATCAGCTCCGGAACATATCTAGATAGAGGATAGTAGAACAACTCATCATGGTAACCAGTAGAATCGTTTCATCTCCCTCCGATCAGCACGCGCTTGCGAACATAAAGAGTGTGCGGAGAGGTGCACGAGCGCACGAGCATAGCTTTGCCTGATCGGCCTTTACCGAGATTGGCGACGAAGAGATAACCGGGCCCCTCGTTGAAATAAACGGCGTATGCTGAGCTGGTAGAAGCCATCGCGAGTGGTAGATCGGAAGCAAATTCTTGTCCTATAGGCTACCTAGTGGGAACTAGATTTGTATTGTACCCGGAACAAAGAGACACAGTTGAATGAAGGACGATGAGCTAGATAGACAAACCAATGCGAAGAATAGGGAGCGAAACAAAGAAGTAGAAAGACTATTATCAGACTGTTACACTTTTCTTTGATTTAATGCAGCCTTCACAGTAAACATTGTGAAGATGGCGACAGGGTGAAGTCATGAAACCTGGCTTCCAGAGACACAAAAGGAAGCAATTGCATGTAATGCTTTCCAGGGACTTGCATTCCTGATATCGAATGGTTCCGAGGCGAGACGGGTGTAGACCAGACCTTCGTGAAAGTTACAAAGACAGGTTCAACAAAAGTGGAACACTATAGATTGATTGGTGTGCGATCAATTGCAGGTTGTTGAGGTCAATCAAACCTTAGAACAACAACCTCTTGACTATCATTTTGACCTACCAAGAAATGTTCATCTCCGGCTAACTTACCTGCATGAGCAATTTGCTTTGTGGTGGCTTCGTCCAACGTAGCCATAATTCCTAGTGCTTGAATACGTAGGCAAGCCGAGTTTTGCACATCTTTGCTAGTGAAGGCGCTCTCCGCCAACGAGAATCTCACGTAAGCCTTCTCGTCAACGACATCCATGATGCCGAGAAACCATGGTTCCGGCTCTAGAACATCAGATGTCTCCATACTGCAATTACCACGATAAGGAGGTAGGTTAATCTCCCATTCCCGCTGCAGATGAGGCCCCTCGCCACGGAACAGGATAGTTGTGGTCCTGGCACACCATAGTCGTTCAGCCGGGTCGAAGTAACCTTGCCCGGAAATGCGTACATTCTCGTAGATAGCGATGGTTTGTTGCTCACTGTTCAATGAGAACTTAATCAGACTCGGTGAGCTTTGTTGCCGGATGCCATAGTGTTGAAGTAGTCTGTAGTCGTATCGACACACTATGTGAGGCCCATTACGGACATCCTCTGGTTGATCCTTTCTACCGGGATCCAATGATGGCATATACTGGCGTGGCTGCGCAATATCCCAAACGAGGAGACACTCGATAGGCTGTTCTTCATCTCCAGTGTACATGCTCCGGTTCGGCTGCCATAGGTAGACAGCATAGTGATCCTTAGTGTGCGTTGAGTAAAAGCGGTCTTGGGCATTCAAGGGTAAGCCTAGAAAATGTAATTTCCATTCACTTCTGAACGCGATGCTCCATCTGCATGCTGTATCGCTAGTGAAGGTCAGTTGCGGCTTGATGTCGTAGCAGGTCACAAAATGTCGGTGCACATTTTCCGAGTCATTCAGGGCATGATAATATTCCTTTTCTGCCCATTCGATGATTAGCGCGTGATGTTTTAGTCGCAGATTCCGCACCACTCTATCTTTCATATCAAATGGTATTTCAACGCCATACTGAGACTTCAGGTCAAGCATCATAATCGCAACGGTTTCTGGAGGGCTCCGTGCAGGCATAGCGGCAGGATGGTAATCAAAAGCGAAGGGTTTGGCAGGTATGAAAACTAATAGGCCGTCTTCGTAAGACCAGAAAGCATGTCTGAAAAGGTAAGTCTGCTCTCCTGGGCCCATCTCCTGTCGCCCCCGAGGTTCTACAGCATTCAGGTGGTGAAGACGTCGACCTGGTTGGCTCTCGTGGTAATCCCAACAGCTGACAGGAAATAAATGCGGTAGACTCAATTCGGGAGCAGCTGTCTTGTGCTTTTCAATTGTTCGAGGCCTGCCGTGCGTAAGGTGAAAGTAGCGACACGCAATCTGGTTAAACGTTGTCCTCCACAGCAAATCACTGTCTTCGTCTGATGCAGCCAGCTTGGTCCTTGAGATGAGCTGGGGCGCTTCCTGTGCATGTGGGTACTTCTTCATAAGTATACGTAGGAGCTCGGGAGCTGAAAACGCTTGGGACCATGCCGAAGACACCATCTGGCAACGAACAACATCCCATGCCTCGAGGTGCTCAATGATGAGAGTGAAAACATCACCAGGAAGATCGGGAAGGCCAATGGGCCCAGTGACGATGTTCATCTTCTCCATGGCTACCACCCCTTGGGTTTGGACAGCCATATCTGGGTCTCGCTCTCAGCTGCGGTTGGGGTTGGAAGAAGGAGGGTAAAAAGAGGGCAAGGATCAGCAACAGAGCTCGAGCAACGCATCGAGAAGCTCCAGCACATGTCACAAACGATTGCCCTATTTTGTTCAAAGTCAACCCATTGTTGATTGTTCCAACATGAGTTGACCGCGGCTGATCGAGACAGCTCCGAGCATGCCGCCTCGAAGAAACATTATTCCGCTCTGGGTACTCCGTAACCCCACTAACGTAGGGTGTCAGCTTTTGCAACAGGTCATCATTTGCAACACTTTATGGCCGATATCTCCGTTCCTACCACAATTTTCAACCACCAATTTCAGCACGTTGCCATCTACCAATATCTATCGCAGAGCAGTGAGCTTTTGATGTACTGCTTATAAAGCTTAGTTCTATATCCTATTTTGATATGGCTGACGCGTTCGCTAATTTGAGCAAGCAAGAGCGAATCGAAAAAGCGATTTTTCTTCGTCTCGAGCGTCGCACCTTTATCATGGACATTGCGTTTCCCATATATTTCGCCCCCAAGATGACCAGCGAATGGGTGGTCAGTGAACGCGCTCACGGGGGCATGGGCGGAAGCATCCAGAATGCTATCAAGGGTATCCACAGCGGAAGCACATTTGATGTCAATATCCTGAGTGAGAGCAGGTTTCTGAAAGAATGCGCTCGCACGTAGCTGTGGAGGCAAGCTGGACAGAGCTTGCGACGTTCGCGTGCCATCCGCTGAGGTCGTTTTCTCCGTCTTATTCAGCCATGCTGCAGACTTCCGCATTTCGGTTGGCATTGCACTTAGAGCTTTCAAACGTCGCCTCTCTCTTTCAGCAGGCGAGGGTTGCTTGGACAACTTCTGGGGCAGATTGAGCATCATTGGCACTGGTGCTGGATAGTACACCATGCCCTCATCCAGTGGTGGCTCGGTGAAAGCTGCTGCATCGGTCGCCAATGGTGGCTGGTTGATGGCGATTTGGCGATTGATAGATACCTGCCGGTCGAATTCTGCGTTGAGAAGAAGATTATCCTTCTTGTGCTGCCTCCGCACACTACTCACGTGCTACAACCACTTGATGTGGCTATATTTCAGCCTCTTTCGAAGTACTATAGTGTGGAGATCGAAAATCACTCTCGAGAGAAGCATTATTGGCTCGAAAAGGACGATTTTATCGTCTATTATCAAATTGCACGTCAAAAGGCACTACGAGAGCGTAATATTCTCTCTGCATGGAGGACCACAGGGCTTTTGCCCTATGACCCACAAGTAGTAATTTCGAAACTATCGAACAGGGCAGTTACTCCTCCTCCCGCTACTCAAATGCAGCTTGTCGTCAATGGATCCCCTCTCGGGTTACTCGTTGGCGCTAGTGACGATTATATCGCTAAGGCCACTCAAGCTATCAAAGATAGTATGATAGGGAGCCCTGCAGAGCGCACTATCAGTCAAAAGGCACTACAAGAGCGTAATATTCTCTCTGTATAGAGGACCACAGGGCTTTTGCCCTATGACCCACAAGTAGTAATTTCGAAACTATCGAACAGGGCAGTTACTCCTCTCCTCCCGCTACTCAAATGCAGCTTGTCGTTAATGGATCCCCTCTCGGGTTACTCATTAGCGCTAGTGACAATTATATCGCTAAGGCCACTCAAGCTATCAAAGATAGTATGATAGGGAGCCCTGCAGAGCGCACTATCAGAACGATTGAGTATCTCAACGCCAATAATGCAATTTTGAGCAAAACGAATGCTCAATTGGTGGCCACGGCCCGTACTCGTCAACAGGTCAAAAAGGGCAAGCAAACGCTTGGTAAGGCGCGGTTGCTTGACAAAGAGGCCGCAGATGCCAAACGGGCAGAGATAGAGGCCAAGGAGGCTGCTGATATAGCACACAGAGTTGCTATGGACCAAAAGAAGAAGGAACAAATGCTCAAAAAGGCCCAGCAAGAGGCAGAAAAGGCAGAAAAGGCAGTCCAACGCGCCATAGCCAAGGATATGCGCGAAATCAATGTAGAAATGGCTCGAATGGCCAGAGTCAATCCTAAATTGTTTACATAATGCCTATTTGAGCTATTTCAATCAATTTTATCTTAAAAATGGCGACAGCAACGTTGAATTGCTCGTGGGCTCAAAATGCCAAGAGTTTGTGTTGCAAATGGTGACCTGTTGCAAAAGCTGACATCCCACGTTAACTACTTACTAACTACGTAGTAATTATAGTAACTAACTTACTACGCATGTGCGGCCTCGGACACACACCGCTTGATGCTTGACGGACAAGGTCCCGCATCTCAAACTCTAAATTTTTTCCAAGTCTCGCGATCATGGTGGGGAGTCATAGTATGGTAGGAAGTTTGGCACAGGGCGTGCCCGACCATCTTTCTTTTCATTATATATTTTGTTGCTCTTTTCACTGTCTTTCTTTGCATCTGTCACTTAAGTTTCCATTTTCTGATCTCATCTGAGAGGCTATGGGCATTAACGACAACATGGCCGTGCACTCACAAAAATCTTCGAACAGTAATGGTGTTGCCACCACGCCCGACTTTACTGTCAAGGCTGGCTTGGCCCAGATGCTGAAAGGCGGGGTGATCATGGATGTAGTTAATGCTGAACAAGTAAGAACTCTTATGAGCAATATCTCACAACCTCCAATCCTAACACCTTCCGCAGGCGCGAGTAGCAGAAGAATCCGGGGCTTGTGCTGTCATGGCTCTTGAGCGGGTACCTGCCGACATACGTCGAGACGGTGGCGTAGCCCGTATGTCAGACCCATCAATGATCAAAGAGATACAAGCTGCCGTCACTATCCCCGTCATGGCGAAAGCTCGCATTGGCCACTTCGTGGAATGCCAGATCTTGCAAGCTATTGGAGTGGATTACATTGATGAGAGCGAGGTCTTGACCCCGGCCGACGATACATATCATGTCGACAAAAGCCCGTTCAGTGTGCCATTTGTTTGCGGTTGTAGGAATCTTGGAGAGGCGCTGAGGAGAATCAGTGAGGGTGCGGCTATGATCAGGACGAAGGGTGAAGCTGGAACGGGAGATGTGGTCGAGGCAGTCAAACATATGAGGACGCTCACGGGTGAAATCTCTCGCGCGAAATCTGCGTACGAACATGGTGGTGATGGTGCGCTAAGAGCGATGGCCAGGGAAATTGGATGCGATCTGGCTCTGCTGAAACAGACTGTTGAACTTGGGAAACTGCCTGTAGTCAACTTCGCTGCAGGAGGCATTGCTACACCAGCAGATGCAGCACTAATGATGCAGCTGGGCTGTGACGGGGTCTTTGTCGGCAGTGGCATCTTCAAGTCGGGAGATGCAGCTAAGAGAGCGAAGGCTATCGTGAGAGCAACGACACACTACCAAGATCCTCAGGTGTTGGCAGAAGTAAGCCAGGGGCTAGGCGAGGCAATGGTCGGCATCAACTGTGGTAGCATGGCGCCTAGCGAGAAAATGGCAGGTAGAGGCTGGTAGCATATGTGCTAAATCATAATATACATAGGTGTCTATCGGATGTTCCAGTATTTGTGTGCCTATGTCATGGAACTTCTATCCAGGAAATTTTTTGGAGGAGCTGGACATAGCTCTCAAGGGCGTCTTCGTGATTACGGTCGCAAGGTTGATACCCTCATGCAGCGTAAGCAAACGCCGCCCCTCGGCTTGTCACCCAGAATTCCTTCACTACCTCCACTGTTTTTCTACGCCCTCTCAACCCCAGCACTTGTTCCACAAACCTCTTGACCCTTTCATGCCCCCCACTGTCTCTTGGTACAGCCTCTCGCAAAAGCCCGGTTCCTAAGAGACCCTGCTTCGCCACAAGCTTCTTCATTGGCTCACAGAGAATATCCAGCTCCGATCGAGCAGCATCACCTCCAACAAGGCGAAGCCAAGTAGCAATGAAGCGCGGTCCATAGTACTGGATGCACTCTCCAAGGTTAACGGAAGCGTCGTGGTCAAGTGAGGGAGAATGATCAAAAGTGGCGGCCTAGAACGCCACATATTAATGGAAGAGATGCTGGGAAAGAAGGGTAGCCTTACCCAAAAATGCGCCGAGGAGCGACGTGGAATCGTGTCAGGGTTCTCTAGAGCAAGCAATGCGAACTCGAATAGCGTTCGCCAGGCCTCTGATAAGTACTTCTCGCTAAAGTAATACCCATATCTCGGTAGCATACGACTGAAGTAGTCTAGTGATGAATATGTAAAGTCGTGGTCTTCGTATATCTTGGTCTCTGCATAACGATCAAGGATAGCCTGCTGGCACTCGGTGATAGCTGAGGAGACATGCAAGAATTCTTGACGAATGGACTCGGGATGTGAAATGTGCGAAGCGAGAAAAGAGGACGCTGTGTCTATGATAAGAGTATTGTAGGACGCATCAAGGTCAATGTGATGAGCCAGGAAAGTAGCACTATAACGTGCATCAAACTTGAAGGGACTCGGATGCGGCTCTGTGTACCCAGACTTAAGAATGTCACAGGTTGCTTCAATAAGTCGAGGCTCATCTGGAAAATTGCCTAGAAGCTGGTCGATCACGTTTTTAATGTCATGCTGGACCTGCTTTCCGTCTCCCTCAATCCAAAAACGTTGCTCCTCAATACTTGGCTGTGCATCGAGATTGATCGATTCATCTGGTGGAGCCCGAAGACCCTTCCCAACAGCTGCCAAGGTCTGAAGAAGATCAATTGCGGAAACAAGAGCTTCCTCGTTGGAGTCATCAAACGTTGCTTTTGAATACTGAGAAATCAGACCGAATACCCTAACCAGTGATACGACTTTCTCGTTCTCTGTAGGCGTCGCCTGCACTATTGCAGCCACAGCACCAAAAAGTCGATGCCTGTCTTCAGAAGGAACATCTGCCAGGCCTGCGAGGGAATTGATGAATTGTGGCAAAGCCTCAACAAGCAGGATTCTTTGTTGGTGACAAAGTGTGAAGATAGCACGAGAAGCAGATGTAATTGATCCTGGAAGGCGGAGTGATGCAAAGAGAAAATTGATGCAAGGCAGCAAGTGCTCCTTGGCGCGCTGTAGAATGAAGGTGTTTCGCGAAATGAATTGGATCGCTCCTTTCCTTGCCAAGTCCGGTATGGTGCTGGCATTGTTCAGGAGAACATTCCATTTTTGCGAAGTGAGGACGTCCTGAATATTGCGTTCAAGCTTATCTGGATTGTGTTGAATGGCGTCGGAAAGCGCGCCGAGGCAAAAAAGGCGAGCCTCGTAATCTTCCCAGCCTGACGAGACGTCTGAAGATTGCAAGGGGGCTGCAAGATTCTGGACCAGATCAGGCCCCACACAAGCATAGGAGGCAAGCAGAAGATCTTCAACGTCCTGCCTAAAATCTTGGAATCGCGTTCGTTCGTCACTATCCCACAAGTGGCTCGCGTCTTCTGTATCCAGTGGTGGGTATCGGATCTTGACAGCATACTGCATACAGGCTTCACAGACGAGGGGTTTTAAAGACCGATCTGCTGCATTCGAGCCGACCCAGTCACTCCAACAGTCGACGATGTGGTTAAATGCATCAAGAACCGTGTGACAGACTTGGTCAACAACCACTGCAGTTCCTGGTGTATATAGCAGATTTTGCAGGAGCGCTAACACGATTCTGACAGTTGGGTGCTGGAAAGATTCGGGCAGACAGAGGTTATGGAGATCGAAAATATTTGAAATGAAGGCCACAAAGCGTATTGCTTCTGCCTCGAAGCTGCCTTGCAATAATTGTGCACAATACACTTCTGCTTGTTCAGAGGTTAGTAGTGTGTGAAGGGTGCTTTGTCCAGCATTCTTCAGGTAATCGGGTGCATACAGAAGAATACCTTCCAGGCTCGTAATTGCGCTGTCAGCTAGTTCAGGGATAAGAAAGCAGCGCATAGCCAATACCATGGCAGCATCAATGACATCACTAATGGAATCGTTGGTGGTACGAGTTGATGAGTAGAAGGACATCCAAAGCTAGACCGAGACATAAATCAGAAGCGGACGCCGAAAAGAGGAAATGATAATACCGATGCAGTCTCTAGAGCCTCTTTACAGAGCTCAAGCACCTCAAGTTCTGGAATGGCAGAAAGATAGTTGGGCGCGACAAGAGCCTCAGCATCCGATTGGCCGTTGCGCATGTGAAGGCATTGAAGTGTGAGGTAGACGAGGTACCACACATCAGGAGCATTTTTCACCACCCTCTCGACCAGTTCAACGCTTCAAGAGTTAGCTGATTGTGGGTGGTTGTACAGGAGACTGACCGTTCAGTCGCTTTCAAATCTTGTCTTGTCAATTCTTCGACCAATGCAGAACCTAGCCAAAGCAAACTACGCAGCTGCGGTGCACTGATATACTGAATCTGAGTCCAAACTTGCTGGAAGTCACCTATATGCTCAGGTGGAACGATTTGGCCAGCACAAAGGGACATTAAGACATGCCTCACAGGAAACTGCCAGCATGAGTTTGGATAAAGGTAGGATGCTGCTAATGTCGAGCACACTTTCCGTAGCACAAACCGTTGTTCGAGCTGGTTGGAGTAGATGACATAGTTTGTAATGAGCTCTGTGAGGACCCGATCTTGCAAGCCTTTCTCGGTCTCGAGAGAGGTCCTGGAGAGATAAGCCAAAGTCTGTCCGCTGACGTAGAATTTCAACCCTACCAGTCCGTACGAATCTTGACAGTCAAGGTCAGAGCGCCGTAGAAACGAAATTGACTATTATTACTCTTCAAGAGCTCAAGGCCCAGATGCCATCCTGATGGTTCTCGTTGAAGTCGTTGAATTTCTTTCTGGATTTCATCTATCCGTTGAGAAGATTTAGGGTTGGATAGAGATCTGGAGTCCACAAGTTCTTGAATGAGCTGCTCCATGACTGATATGTTTATAGTAGACAGTCATTGTGATGGAAATAAATTGTTACCGCAAAGCAGTTCGAACATTGGCATAAACCGTCTTCCTACCTGTATCGAGTGTAAAGCCACAGGTGAGATGGTCGCCGGCTGATCTTCATAGTGGTGAAATTCCATTGGCGGGTCCTGCCGAGACTAAGGTATTGGTGCGAAGATATAGTTTGAATGTCACTGTAATTACCCAATGCCACCTTTGCGAACAATTACTTCAAAATGCTCCGAGATCTGTCAATTTTCTTAAATGTGTATTGATCCAAAAAAAGAAAATGTCAGACACTAGAATAGGCATCGGTATCAATTGCAACCTGGGCAACACATAAAAACAAGATGTATCATTTACCCGAGGCATCCCGTCTTGACGCTTCAAGATTAAGCGCGTCCTGCTGGCTAGTCGTACTGCAACGGGTAATCTTCTGCATTGCATGGATGAACCGAGGAACCGTGCGATGCCTCCGTGATATCTGGGCAGCACTCTACGATTAAGAGCAAGACTAGGTTGTATTGCTGTGTAATGCTTGCTTTACAGTCGTTTAGACAGGTTTTCCCGCGCATATTCAATTCTGCGTCCATTGGCTCTCCATTAGCATCAAGTCCATTTCGTGCCTTCTCTACTTCACTCACTCTGCGATCAATCGACATGGAGCGGGTGAACACAACCAAGAGATTGGCCCATCTGCGGGACTTGATGAAAGAGCATAAGCTCGATATTTATAGTGAGTGGGCAAACTGTTGCGATGATCTGTCTTGCCTGACTAGGCGTAGTTGTACCATCTGAGGATAGTCATCAATCCGAATACATTGCTCCCTGCGATGGTCGAAGAGGTCAGTTCCCGCTATCAATGCAGAAGCACCATCTGACAAACAACGGCAGAATATATCTCTGGTTTTTCAGGCTCGGCAGGTTGCGCTGTGATTACGCTCGACAAGGCCGCTTTAGCAACCGACGGCCGATATTTCAACCAGGCGTCGAAGCAACTCGATGACAATTGGACACTGCTAAAGCAGGGACTTGAGGATGTTCCGACGTGGCAGGAGTGGTACAGTCAAGACCTACATCTACAGCTTAATACCAAAGCTGAGCTAGATCAGGACCACGGAACAAGCTGAGGGTGGAAAGATAGTTGGTGTCGATCCCACAGTCATCACCGCACCGGATGCGCGAAAACTATCAGAAAATCTAAAGAAGAAGGCTGGGAGCTCGCTTATTGGTGAAAGAGAGAATCTGGTTGACCATGTCTGGGGCGCTGATCGACCACCAAGGCCCAAAGAGAAGGTCATGGTCCAACCTGAGAAGTACTCCGGAAACAAGTTCCAATCCAAGCTTGAAGAAGTTCGCAAGGAGCTAGACAAGAAGAAGGCCGCTGGCATCATTATCTCCATGTTGGACGAGGTTGCCTGGCTGTTCAACCTAAGAGGCAGTGACATACCCTACAACCCAGTCTTCTTCTCCTACGCTGCTGTGACCCTTACCACCGCAAGGATCTACGTCGACTCGAACAAGCTCACCGACGAAGTCAAGGATCACCTTGGTACCGATGTGGAAATACGACCATACGACTCTCTCTTGGCGGATCTTACGGCAATGAGTGAATCTGCGCCAATTGTCGAAGATGCTAATGCCACGGCCTCAGCCCCCATTTTGAAAAAGAAATACCTGATCTCCACTAGGGCGTCATGGGCATTGAGTCTAGGTCTTGGTGGTGAAGAACAAGTCGACGAGATCCGAAGTCCTGTTGGAGACGCGAAAGCTATTAAAAATGCCACGGAGTTACAGGGGATGCGATCCTGCCATATTCGAGATGGTGCGGCTCTCAGTGAATACTTTGCTTGGCTAGAAGAGACGCTTGTGCAAAAAGCGGAAACTTTGGATGAGGTTCAGGCCGCGGACAAGCTGGAGGCAATACGGTCGAAACGAGAGCATTTTGTGGGCTTGTCTTTCGATACCATTTCTTCCACAGGACCCAACGCAGCTGTCATCCATTATAAGCCCGAAAGGGGCAACTGCTCTACAATAGATCCCAAGGCAATCTATCTTTGCGATTCAGGAGCACAGTACCTGGATGGTACGACAGACACGACTCGAACATTGCATTTTGGAAATCCGACGGGGATGGAGGTCAAAGCATATACGCTGGTGCTTAAAGGCGTGATTGCCCTTGATCGAGCAATCTTTCCCAAAGGCACTACTGGATTTGCCCTCGATTCTTTTGCGCGACAGCATCTTTGGAGGGAAGGGTTAGATTACAGACATGGAACAGGGCACGGCGTTGGATCCTTTCTGGTACGTAGACTCAGGCATTGACAGATCAAGTACTGACAGACCGCACAGAACGTTCACGAGGGACCGATTGGCATTGGCACCCGATCGCAGTACTCTGAAGTCCAATTGTCGGCTGGGAACGTGCTGTCAGACGGTAAGCTGTAACCTCCCTACATCAGTTCATCGTTGACCATTCAGAACCGGGCTACTACGAAGACGGGAATTTTGGCATTCGTATAGAAAACATGATCATGGCTCGAGAAACGTCAACAAAGCACAATTTTGGAGACAAGCCATGGCTTTCCTTTGAGCATGTAACAATGGTCCCGATGTGCAGGAAGCTCATTGATCCTGCGCTGCTCACCTCTGAGGAGAAAACGTGGTTGAATGACTATCACAGGGAGGTGTGGGAGAAAATCAGTGAGTTCTTCAAAGATGACCAAAGAACGACGGATTGGCTACAGCGGGAGACGAAAGAAATTTGAGGCCTCATTGGTCTTCAGCATACTACCACGTAAGCAGATTATAAACACTAAGTTGGCTGTGTCGGCGATTGGGGCTCATGTACATTTATGGACTGGAAAAAGTTATGTGCTCACAGTGAAAGCACCTTTTTGTGATACGTAATCAGAAGTGCTTCACTCCAATCCACCGTAGACGCTGAAACTTGTTCAGGATTGTAGCATGCCGTCTCTCTCTCCTGATGCCAAGAAACTCTACATCCCTGGGAAAACGCTGTCTACTATGTAACTTAGTATGTACTACATACACGCGCTTCATTCTGATTTCCAAGGGAATGCATTCAAAGAAGCGCTTTCTACCAGCACTCCAGACCTGACAAGGACATACCGAAGAGCTTCAAGCAAGAATGCTTGCACAACCTCAGCAGTCATATCCATGCTCGTGTCTAGATCTTTCCATCCGCAGGTATGAGCGGCAGGAATCCGTACGCAACGAATAATGGCTACTCTAACTCAAATGCGCCTGGGCGCTATGGCAACCTCTATGCACAAGACAACAATTCCTCAACCAGCTCTGTGAATGGCTACAGTACCCGTGAGCGAAGACCTGGAGGCTATGGGGGATTAGGACTCGAAGCGAACGAAGAGAGCCCTCAACCACCCGTAAGCCGCACGAGATATGGATTCGAACAGGGTGCTGGATACAGAAGAAGACCTGCGCAGGATAGCAGAGATCGGGACTATAGTGACTCGAGTAGGAGCAGAGACAGAGCAGCACCGAGCACAAACGGAGTTCCAGCAGCAACCGCATATTCCAGCAGAAGGGGTCAAGGGAGCATGGAAGGTGAGTCACCGAGCAGATCAGGCGCTAGGTCACAGCATAAATGTTAACAAGACTAGCTAACCCGCTGCATTGCTAGATGTGTTAAAGTACATTCAGTCAGAATGGCCATTCATGGGTGGAGAAGAATGCATCCCTGTACAAGTCGCTCTACAACTCTCCGATCCGAGCACCCTTGGCCTTGCAACGCGTGAGCCAGAGTTCCAACGGGCACATTTCGATCTACAGAAAGCACTCAAGTCCATTGTCAATGGTAGGTAGATTCTGCGCCTGCTCGAGATACCATGCTGAACCAGACAAGAACACCACCAAGATTTCAACAGCTCCATTGGGACGTATCATAAGATTCAAGCAAGTATCCAGAATTCTCAGTCCCGAGTTCGATACCTGAAAACTGCTCTTGGGGAGGCAAAGGGAGGCTTGCTCACCACCAAACCAGAGCTCAAAGGCCTTGCCACGTCCTCACAAGCTTTCGATGATTCCTTGCAGTTGTTCACCCAGATCGAGAGCATTCAAGCCGTACCAGAACAACTCGAAGGCCGAATTACCGAAAAGCGCTTTCTTACCGCCGTAGATGTATTGCAAGAGGCACTCCGCCTTGTCCGGAAGTCAGAATTTGACGGCATTGGAGCGATGACAGACCTGCGGACATATTTCACCAATCAAGAGCAGTCTCTAACGGACATCCTGATCGAAGAGCTCCATGATCATTTGTATCTGAAATCACCCTACTGCCATGATCGCTGGAAAAGCAGAACGATAGAGGGCGAGGAGAAAGACTCGCTATCTACGCTGCCCACAAGCGCGGTAAATCCTTGGGATAAACCAGTTTATCAATTTCTTGCATCACTCAACACTTCTACACCAATGATCGAGGATGCATCAAGGAATCCAGAAGCTGACACCTTCTATTACATTCACATGATCATTGAGACACTAAACAAATTAGGCCACCTTGATACGGCCGTCAACCGTATTGAGCAGAGACTTCCAGTAGAGCTATTCAAGGTAGTTGAGAAGACCAACAATGAGATTGACGCCCGATATCCGGGGGAAGCTCGAGGCCTAGCAGACAGGGAGAAGAAGCGAATAGCTACCCCGACGGATACACACTATGGTCGTGGTGCTGTGCTCTCCGATTTCCTTTGGACAGTGTTTGCCAAATTCGAGGCCATCGCTGAGGGTCATCGGGTGGTACATGATGTTGTTTGGGGCATCGTGGGACGCGAGAAATTGCCCAAAGCCGCCAGATACACGGGAGGCTTCAAGGAGCTGTGGAAGCTTTACCAAAGCGAGATACGATCTTTGCTACATGATTATCTGGCGACTGATGGTGACACTACCCTTCACTCTGGGTTTTCAACCACCGATAGCGTGGATGTCTTCGGTCGGAAGAGGGACAAGAACAAACGGATGTTCAGGCTTGCCGAGATGGATCCAATGTCGCCAGATATACAGGGCGAACAGGAAGATCTGGATGAAATTTTGAAATCCTCTGTACCTGGTCTGATATCCAAGACTCGAGCCAAAGCTGGTATGACCAGCGATGCTCCCAGAACCGTGCAAGAAAGTACTGCCGCCGGGCACAAGCTGCTCATCGAACCCAGCGCCTTCAACGTCACACTAATGCTCCCACCTTCTCTGTCGTTCTTGCAAAGGCTAAAGGAGATAGTACCTTCGAATGCGGATATCCCCATAAGCACCCTAACCTCTTTCCTCGACGACTTCCTGGTCAATGTGTTTCATCCGCAATTGGAGGAGACCGTTTCTGAGCTTTGTACCAAGTGCATCATAGACCTTGAAGCTTTCACCGAGGATCCGCAGTGGTCGAAGCATTCCCCGCGACCAATCTTCAAGGTAAGTCGCACCCAATCGAGCTTTTCAACCACTATTGACTCCATACTCCAGGGAACTGTCGCGTTCATGTCTTTGATACGATCCTTTTCGTCCATGCTTGATTCTATCCCACAAGACCAAATTTTTACTCAGTTAATCATCACGCAGCTCGTGATGTACTTTGACAAGTGCTTTGGCTGGTACAAAGTACTAACGTCACGGTTGTCCGGGCCAGGACAAAATACTCCTTCGACGAAAGCTGCAGCCGCATTTGCGCGAGAAGGTGAAGTGCATGAAATCACCACGAAACTACTGGACGACAGCGGCGACTCGACAGCACGGTCTTCACTGGTTGACCACGAAATCCAAGCTCTACTTTCTGCAACAAGGGCCAACCCTCTTTCGGCTTATGATATCATCTCCGATCCCAAATCAGTTGCTTCGCTCTCCTTGCTGTACAACAGCATGCAGTGGCTTTCTGCATCTCTCGCTCGCCTTCGTCATGTCGAGGCTGCCTCAAGCATGCATCCGTCCTCATCATCCAAAGTCCGTCGCTGGACTCTTGTAGCTTCTTTGAGGCCAACCCACGGTCGTTCGAAATCGAATGGAGGGAACAGCACTCCTGCATATCTGCCCATGACGACAGAAAGTGTGATACCGTTTGATAAGACACTGCAAGAGTTTCGTGAGCTGGCAAAAGTTGCTTTACTAACCCTCCACATCGATGTTCGCTGCGGCGTGATTCACCAAATGACACGATCCCTTCGAGGCCCCAATGCCCCACCTATCGATCAAGCTCCAGAACCTCCCCCGCGCGACTCTGCAGCTCTAGCGAAAACCGACTCTGGATTATATCATTGGATCTTGCAACAGCCGCCATCGGCTGCTAGTGCCTTGATCCTCGAGCTCAACAATCATCTCATTTCCTTCGACACGAATGCCAGCGCGTATCTGGGGTCCAAGGAGCGCAAATTCATCACACGAGGACTGGGGAGACTGATCGATCGTATACTCGTCGCCGACGCTGACCGAATCGAAGTCATGAACGCGTACGGTGCGCAGCGAATGGGCTTGGATATACTGGTCCTTCAGCAGAATTTACGCAACATTGCCATCACGGCGTCATCTACACCGGGGTCCGACATCATCTCCGTCGACCGAGATGCAGGAGAGGATGCGGATGTGCTTTTGCAGAAATCAGCACAATTCTACGATCTGTTCTTGCAAGGTGCTGCGAAGGTAGTTGATTATGCCAGGGCTGCTAAGAGCAGAGGTGATCCTGTCGGCTACTCATATGATGAGCTGAAGGTTCTGGTTGAGCTTTGCTACTCGGAGGGATTGAGATCAGCAGAGAGAGAGGAGAACTTGAAGGCGAAGAAGGGCTTGCAGGATAGTCTGCTGGGGTTGGGAGAGGTCATGTGGGACTCTTGACGGATATCGGTAGGATGGGTAGGAGGCCAGAGCTGGCTTGAAGATAGCAAAGTACAACTCAATGGAATATTCTTGGTGATTGAAACGGCTTACCACGGATGGAGATTAAGTCATGCACGGCACGGTGATGGTGGGCGAATTAAAGTAGCCCGTAACAGTCCGCCGTAACGATATATGAGGCGAAGGATGAAGGATGCGAACTTCCAAGAGCCCTAAGAGCCCTGAGAGCCCTGCAAGCCACATCACAGATTTCTACACCCAAACCAGTTACATTTCACTTTCACACTGGTCTTCGGTCCTCAAGCTGAGACTCCAGCTAGCTAATTTCAGACTCGGCCACCAAAAGCCACAGCGTGTTTGGCATGGGAGATTCTCCGTAGTTACTGGGTATCTACCACCATGCGGCGTAGCCTTGCCATCCATAGTCAATACCAGGCGGGTCAGAGCTCTCCACCCTCTTCACGTTCCTGTTCCCTCGCTCTGTTCGTCTGCAAGACAATGCTTCTCCTTCGCACATCTCAGGTGTTGACTCTTCGCTCTATTCGTCTACAAGACCGTGCTTCTCTTCCGCACATCTCAGGTGTTGACTCTTCGCCATCGTGACAAGCCAATTTCCTTCTCTTGGGAACCGGGACCAGTTCAACTAGCCATATTTTGAAAAACAATCGTTGCAGTTGCAGGTCTAAAGCAATCTGCTCTTCCTGTCTTGTTTCTCACTGCGCGATTTCCTACCGTTGTAACTATTAACATCTTCGTCTTACGGCTCGCTATCATGAAGGAGTCCACTGGAAACCTTATTGCTTACCTGGCTCTGCCGGTCGTGCTTGTGCTATATTTTGCTACCAGGCTCTTCGAGATGCGCTGGAAGATGAGAGGACTAGTGAGTCAACATTCTTTATTCATTTATGGCCGTAATACTGCCTACAGCGGTCGTTCTGGCATATTACCACACCCCCCCCTCTTGGATGATTGACGCTTACCATGCTGCCCTCCCCCCTGTTCAGCCCAAACCACCACACCACCCAATCTTGGGTCATCTCCTCATCGCCCGCGACTTCGTCAACACGTTTCCTCCGGACGCCCACGCTCACGTTTACGCTGACTACATACGCCGTAAATACAACCTCGGCAAATTCTTCTACCTCGACTTCTGGCCCCTCAATGATCAGTTTCTTTATATCGCGGACCCTGACATAGCCAACCAGATCACCATCGGCAGTAGTCTACGCAAGAGCCCTATGGTTCCCGAATACATGAATGTACTGCTAGGAAACCAGAACATGGTGTGCTTGGAAGGAGCCGCGTGGAAGCGAGTACGCTCTATGTTCAACCCTGGCTTTGCGGGCGGGCATCTCATGACGCTGGTACCGTATATCGTTGATGCGGCCGTCGTATTCGGGGATGTGCTGAGAGAAAAGGCGAGGGCGAGTGAAGTGTTCGAAATGGAGGAGATTGCCACCTGGCTGACAATGGACGTTATCGGCAAAGTGACCCTAGATGTCGACCTCAACTCGCAGCGGTCAGAACATCGTATTGTGACTACTTTCCGGAAACACGTGGCCATGATGCCCGTGACCACGCCGGCGGATCCCTTCATCGGTCTCATCGCCAAATACTTCAACGCGCCCTGGCTCTGGTACAATGGGCGTAAGCTCGATCGGTACATTGGCGAAGCACTTGATCAAAGATACGCGAAGCGCTCTGCAGACCAGAAGTCTCGAACTTCCGAAGATAGCAAGAAGAAAATTCGCTCCGTGATCGATCTAGCCCTGGATACGTACGAGCAAGAAATCCAGGACTCAAGCAAGAACCACGGCAGTAGTACAGGGGAGGGCATGGACCCGGCATTCCGCTCTCACGCCGTTGATCAGATCAAGACTCTCATCTTCGCCGGTCACGACACCACCTCCTCAACCATCGCCTGGGCCTTCTACCTCCTACACCAGCACCCTGACGTCCACGCCAAGCTCGTCGAGGAGCTCGACCACGTCCTCGGCCCCAAGACCAGCAATCCCGCTGACAAGATCCGGGCTGACAGCTACCTGATCAACCGCCTCCCCTACCTCACCGCTGTCGTCAAAGAAACCCTGCGCCTCTTCCCACCCGCATCCACCGTCCGCTACGGCGATCCCACCGTCACCATCACCGACCCAGACCACGAGCCAAGCCAGACCTATCCAACCGCCAACTTCCACATCTGGGTTGTCGCCCACGCCATCCACCGCAACGAGACCTATTTCCCCAACCCCACCGCCTTCATCCCCGAACGCCATCTCGATGACAACCATCCCTCTTCCACTCCGTTTCCACACGCCAAACAGCACAAAGACGCCTTACGCCCCTTCGAGAAGGGCCCGAGGAACTGCATCGGTCAGGAGCTGGCCATGATCGAGGTGCGGGTGATCCTGGCCTTGACGGTTCGCGAGTTCGATTTCGAGGCCGTGTATCCCGAGCTAAGGGATCCGAGAGAGGTGATCGAAGGACATCGATGTTATCAGGTTCTCAAGGGGAGTGCGAAGCCCAAAGGCGGTTTGCCCGGACGGGTGACGGTGAGGTAGGTGCTGGCTGGGATGCCTGCGAGGGTTGGGAGGGAGAGGGGATGACTGGTTGGAAGATTTGCTGTGAATGAGAGGGCGTCGTGAGCCTTTGGCCAAACAGTCATTGACAATGATGTGAGGAAAGAAAGAAAGAAAGAAAGAGAAGGGGGGGTGGATTGGACTTGTTCAAGAGTATTATTGTAGATATCAGATGGTAGTCACGAAGGTGTACCAAAATTTCAATCATAGATGTGAAATACCTCCAAGGGTGAAAGACAATTGGCTACCCACTCCGCCATCCTTTGCGATCTGGAGGCAGGCACTAGCTACAGGCATGCACACCGCGTTAATATGATATGAGTCACGTTTGTAGCCTTCTACAAACTTTTCTACCAAAAAGGTGAGTAGGATGTATGAGAGGGATGGGAGAGACTTTCGATCGCTGGAGCCACTCTCAGGCCATGCCAAAACCTGATGGCCACCATGCACTGCACCGAGCCGATTTCTTGCCCAGACATCCAGAATTCGATAGAGAGAAGGCCAAGGACCCACACTGCGCCAAGTCATATGTAGAGCATTATGGTATACATGGCCCTATCGGACGCTGGGACGGTAGCAAAGTCCCGATGACAGCAGGCCACCAGCCTCCAAAAAAGAGGTTTTCGAGTTTCGACAGAAGCGGTGAATTTCTTCTTCAAGGAAATATGGCCTGATGACTATGAAGAGTATGCTAACATATGCCGCCTCATGGATCAGGACCATATGGTTCACACCAACTCAGAAGTGGAGACATTTCCGCCGAGGGCATGTAGCGGAAATGTGGCCACGCAAGACCGTACTGACGACGCGGATGCACCATATGGAGTGGCTGGGATTGTCACTTTCGGTGGCTTTCAAGGTAAGACCAGTCGACCCTCGTGTAGGACAATGCTAACATTCATCTCCGGAGCGGATCTAGTATTCTGGCAGCTTGGACTGAGGATCTCTTTTGGTTCTGGATCTGTGTGCATGCTTCGCGGCCACGAGCCGTAACATTCCACCACCGACTGGTTTGGAAAGTCGAGATGCTCCATTGTCGATGCAATGCCGGCGGCAGTTAAAGGAGCTACCAAACGTAAACGTGATCAACCTATCGAAGCCGCCAACGATGACTCTGAACATAGTTTTCTTGGTCATGAGGCGCAATACACAACACCTGAGGAAGAGAACATCGATGTCTACAGGTTTCAGACATACAGCCATCCTCGGGAACGGGCTCAGAATGCAGAGTGCTTGCGAATGCACCTAGATCAAGTCGACAAGGGGCGAAAAGCTAAAAGAAAACGAAGATGTGCAAGCCATGACAACGGATACAAGAGGAGGAAGGTTAACAACAACAATCAAAATGAATGGATGATATTTTCCAGAAGCGAGACCGCCTTCTCAGACCAAGGTGAAGGATGAGGTTCAGCCGCAGGCTTAAAACAAAAACGGGTGTTTGCTGTCCAAGCTGCTCGTAGATGATGAAAAGACGACTTGGTGATACATAAATTATTAGGCGACTATGAGATGAACAAGGACAAGTTCCAAACACCAGCGGTGCAGCCAAACTTGCCTCCAAAGGTCGCCGGTCTATCATTGCCGGCTTTCATTTATAGACTTAACTTGATGCGTCTCTCGGGCGCTCAATTTGAACGCTAGGATACAGAGAAATATAGGCAGAGCAAGATTTCGCAAGCAGGCCCTGAAATCCATTGCTTCATGGTTCAGCTCTTGAGCAGCTGTAGAGTCAATATTGTGATTCGAATGGTGTCCAGGCACGACTTGTGAGATAGATCTAAGATCTAGTTAGTTGGTGGCTAGCGCTTATGATTGAGATAGATAAGTTGTCTGCGGGTGCTGGTGTTGTTTCCTGAGAAGAGGTTATGCTGGAGCGAAGCATTGGTTTTGTAAGGAATGCATTTCGGCTTCGTCTGGAGAATGTACCTGTGTAACCTGTGTATCGTAGGTATTAGGTATTGTAGAGAAACATGACATCATTGGCAACCACCAACCTGGTGAAGCTGATGTTTGTAGCGTGCATGCAGAACCAATTGAGAGACACGAAAAGCACACCAACCTCAGAATACGTAGCTTTCCAGAATTCTCTGAGCGAGCTTCCTGTCATACCTCACGATGCTTCTCCGTCCCTTCCTGCTCCGCCGCACCCTTCACACCACCACACGCCTCTCCTCAACAACGACAACCGCCCGCCTTCCCCTTCCCTTTTCGATCCGTACTTACCCTGTCCTCCTTACCTCCGCCGCCCTAGGCTTCTCGCTGCCATTCTTCGCACCTCGATCCTCAGCACTTCTCGATACAGCCTTCAGCACATCCTCTGCTCCCTACACCTACTCGCGAGACGCGAAGACCCCACTCGCCAAGGACTCGAGAAGCCTGAACCCGGCAGCTGTGAAACAGATCTCGCTGGGAAGTATACTGGGGCTTGGGGCTGGGGTGCTGGTCAGTGCATTCAGTAGGACGTTGACATTGCTGCTTGGGGTGGGGATTGTGATTGTTCAGGTACGCTGAAACCCGTTCTGGATGCAATGACCAAGGATGTAAGAGCACCAGGACTGAAGCTGATCTCCGGTCTACAGTATGCAGCACGGAGCGGTTACAACATAATACCGGTGGAGAGGATGCAGAGATACGTCAAAGGTATCAATCTGAGGAGAGCAATATTGGATAATGCAGCATTCAAGCTTAGTTTCGGCTTGACGTTTGCGCTGGCTGCTTTTGGGGAATTTTAAGGAGTACGGAGAGACGTCCCAAGTGATAAGCATCATGGAGGATATATGCGAAGTTTGGCATGAGCGAATATGTGCTCAATTGCCGGCCATGACCAGCTCTTCCAGCAGCGTTTCCATCTCTTCCCTACCCAGCGGCACTCCGAGAACTTCTGTTCCCGTGCCCTCCTTCTTCGAAACAATCATCTCATGGTCATAAAATTCCTTCAGCAGCGTACGAAAGTTCATCTCGGAGCTGCATATGAAATTTTCCGATGCTTTCTGATACAGCGCCTTATACTCCACGCTAACCTCCTCATCCGGTTCCTGTGCATGTGCAGACCTCTTTCCTCCATCGTCAGCGTCTCCGTCCACGCCTCCATGCAAATCTGGCAATCCCTCGGCCAGCGCCGACAGAATCTCCGTCAAAAGCAGGACATACAGCTTCCTTGAGTTCTCGGTCAGACTTCTAAGCACAAAGCCAATACCCTCGCCACCACCTATTCGTCGCCCTTTCTTGCCAAGAAGCTCATGCACGTCATCCACGACATTCAGCTCTGCTATGTAGGGCGCGTAGGTGGTACAGTCGTGGAAGACAAAGGCAAACTGGTCGAGCAGATTACTGTCCCACAGCAGCGGGAAAGATGGCGTATCCGCGGTTCCGAGAAGGTTTATGCGAGGATGGGCTGCGAGGCGGGCGAGCAGGGCTTGAATGGAATGGCGACGGAGTAAGGGCGAGTCTATGGAATTAATAAGGACCATAAGTGGAGTACCAGGAGGGTGGTTGGTGAGGTAAGAGAGGAGAAGATCGAGCATTTCTGCTGGTTGCCCAGAAATTCGGGCTGGGGCATGCTTGCCCATGGCCGTTGTCACAAGCATGGTGAGGATTGATCGAATATTGACCTTGGGCGTGTAGCCATTCACCACCACAACTGAAGGTGCAGGATCATATTTGGGGTATATCCATTCCGCGAATTGGCTGACCAGTTGTCTTTTACTACCCCATCCGTATAGACAGATATTGAACCCCTCGTGCCATTCGAACCTCCATTGCGGGAATGACCGTGCATGTAGCTTCCTCAAGTAGGCTCTCTCTGCGTTGTGAGGGTCTTTGTAGCCGCGCATCAATGCGAAGTATTCGTCATGGTTCAGGAGTTTGAGAGATGCAAGCGTGTTGTTTGAGACTTCTGGAGGACCCGAGCGATTCTGGAAAAAGTACCGCTCCTCTGGTGGCAGGTCACCCTCTGGTGTTGGTGATCGTCTGTTCTTGGAGCCCTTGGGACGACCACGGCCTCGCTTCGAGGGTGTTTCCTGGAGTGCCGATGCGGCGAGCTCTGCAAGATCATCGCGTATGCCTTCAAGACCTCCGCCATCCCCGTCAAGACCCTCCTCGTCGTCCTCTAAAATCTCTTGCGCAAGGGCAGTCCCAAGCTCGTCCTCTGACTCGTTTTCCAGTAGCGCGCTGGCACTTTTGCGTTTCGCCGACCTGTCCGCCTTCTTTGCGCTTGCAGACTGGGCTTTTCCTCGTGTTTCTGTAGACAGTTTCGTCGGAGTCTTGAATGTGCCATTTGCCGTGGGTGTTGAACTTCCTCCGTTATCCGATATTCCATCAATATCCACTGTTCGCTGCTTCTTGGGTGTGACGGAGGCGCCGTTGATGTTGTCACTCTCGCGCTGCTTCCGCTTCATCTCCAAGAAAATAAAAATAGTCAGTATAGTTAGTAATTTGGTGGCATGTAAGAGATCAATCAGACTTCTTACGGACTGGTTCTTGGGAGGGTCAATTTCGCGACCATTTCCGTCCGCGTCGCCGCAAATCCGCTGTATTGATTGGCCAATTAAATTCTCTATGCCGACCACCACATGTCAACCATTACGATCAAAAAAATGAGACCTCTGGCGACTTCGGCCTAGCATAAAGAAAAATGTCTAGAGACAGATATCTAAGTGACAGTCCGGATGAAAAAGGCTATCGTCTCGAAGTGCATTCAACTTACTGGTAATGGCTACTCTGATGTGAGTCACCACCCACTCTCAGATATCAAGAGTGATGCGTCTTTCTTAGAGCAATCAATGTGAAGAACTTGCAGCCAGGCTTATAAAGTATTTTACTCTTCCATCCAAGGGCAGCCATGTCGAGATCAATGTCTGCAGTCTCGAAGGCATCGAGCTTCGTTCGAATGCTCCGAGGTCAGCGCAGAGCATATTCTGCTCCGCTCGACCACTCGATCCCGGAATCAAAGCAGAAGTACGTACCTACTTCAGGAACCTACCCCAAAGGCTTCAAGGTATCGGGGACACATGTCGGCGTCAAACCCTCCAATACCAAGTTCCCAGACCTAGCATTCATAGTCTCGGAGAAACCATGCTCTGCTGCTGCTGTTTTCACCACCAACAAATTCCAGGCTGCACCCGTCCAGATTAGCAGATCTATGTTGGAAGCCAGGAAAGGAGAGGGCGTCCGCGGCGTCATCATCAATTCAGGCTGTGCGAACGCCGTCACCGGAAAGAAAGGTGAAGAAGATGCATTAGCAATGGGCGAGAAAGCGTCTTCCTGCTTTCCAGACGACCCAGACGACGGCCTCGGCCATCGCAGTATCGTCATGTCCACTGGGGTCATAGGCCAGAATCTACCAATCAACAAGATCCTCGACAGGATTCACCAAGCCTCCTCAAACCTCGACTCATCTCACTCCGCCTGGCTCACGACCGCCCGCGCCATCTGCACCACAGACACATTCCCCAAACTGCTCTCAACGACATTCACCCTCCCGGGCTCCGCCCATAGAGACGTAGTATACTCCCTCGCGGGCATGACTAAAGGTTTGTGACATCGCTCGAGGAACACTTTCTCCGAATTAATGATATTTGATTTTAGGGGCTGGCATGATCCACCCTAACATGGCTACCCTCCTTGCCATCCTCTGCACCGACGCCCCCATCTCCCCCCCAGCCCTCTCCTCCCTCCTCAAAACCGCCACCAACAAATCGTTCAACTGCATCTCCATCGACGGCGACACATCCACCAACGACACCCTCGCCATCCTCGCCAACGGTGCCGCCGCCTTGCCATCCACACCAGGCCCCCAACCCCCGGACTCCGCACCAGCAATCCCCAACGACCCTAGAGACCCAGTCTACATCGCCATGTCCCGGGTGCTAACAGACTTCAGCCAGCGCCTCGCCCAACTCGTCGTCCGCGACGGCGAAGGCGCCACCAAATTCGTCGAGGTGCACGTCCACCACGCGCCGTCGGTCGCGGACGCAAGAGCCATCGCCTCGACCATCGCGCGCTCCCCGCTCGTCAAAACCGCCCTGTACGGCAAAGACGCGAATTGGGGCCCTGGGCGAAGGCGCGGTGGTTCCGGAGAAGACGAACGTCTCGTTCGTGCCGGTGGAGAAGAGCGCGAGTAGAGGGGAGGGGCCGTTGAGGTTGCTGGTGAATGGCGAGCCGGAGAGGGTGGATGAGGAGCGTGCGGCGAGGTTGCTGCAGGATGAGGATCTCAAGATCGATGTTAGTCTTGGGACCGGGAGGGAGGAGGCCAAGTATTGGTTCTGCGATTTCAGTCATGAATATGTTACTATCAATGGCGACTATAGGACTTGATGGCCAATCCCTCGGCCAGCGCCGACGCATAGTCCGAGATGCCAGCTAGAAGACAATCAACAAAGGAATATGGCCACATGGACCAAGAGAAGTGTAGAGCACTTTGTTAGTACTATACGCAAGGCGGGTGAGCACCAATCACATTCACAAACGCAGCAGTCATGGTCAGTGCCTGACTTGACCCACTCTTAGCTTTTAGCTTTCAACCGCTGGCCCCATATTCCCGAAGAGCTTTTCCGAGTTTTGATAGTACAGACAAGATGTACAGGGGTCACATTCTCCCTGGCCAATTCTCAGGAGTGCGGAGAATATATAGAGTCAATAGATCACCAAGTAAGGCGAAAGCATGAACATAGGTGAGCCTATTGTCTCAGTCTACCCAGCAATCATGCCTTTAATTGATCCCATATCACCCTCCTTGGCCGCGATCTCGAAATAGCCGTAGATGATGCTGGGAATATATCAGTACATGCCGACATCACAGTTTCAGCAACTTACGTGACGGCCAACAGAATGCCAGTCCCGCTTCCGAGAGCACCCAGAAGATCACTAGCAACCGAAAGAGCACCAATGCAGGCGCCACCAAAGGCAGCAGCTGTCGGAATGACACGTTTCAACTCCTTGTACATACTCTGCTCACGGTGTCCAGCCATGACCAAGCCCTGGTCCTTCAGTTGCTTAGCAACATCACGTGGAGCAGACCCGGAGACCTCGATCCAGGTCTTGGAGAAGACAGCACACGCCACCACAATAAATGCAATGTAGACTGCCGTGTGTATCGGATCGAGAAGAGCATCGGTGAAATTCTGAGGTGGAGACATATAATAAGCAATACCAGACGCCGCATAGAGCTGAGCCGAGCCTTCTTTTGGTTCCCAAACGCCCAGCAGCTTGACTAAGAGATTATCAGAGAAGCGCGAATAGAGCATCTGGCTGATGAGGAAGATGTTCGACGAAAGGGCTGACTGCAGCATAATGGGCATGTTGGAGGTGTAAAAGAGACGAACGGGATATGAGCCACGCATGCCACGTTGTCGAGAAGACTTGACGGGGATCTCAACCCGGAATCCTTGAAGATAGATCACTGCAGCGAAGACAGTGACTGTCGCAAGTAGATTCATGATGTTGGGCAGATTCTGGCGATAGAATGCCTCGTACAACGCGCGCTGCTTGTCTGGCCATGTAAGAAGAAGATGGAACAAGGCGATGACCGCACCCTCGAATTCAGGTCCTCGGCCAGTATTGATCGTAGTTGGCGAAAATGCTTTCCAGATGATCGATTCGCAAATATTGGTTGCAATGAAGAGCGATATACCACTTCCCAAGCCATACCCCTTCTGTAAGAGTTCATCAAGCAAGATGACTACTAGGCCAGCAAGCACGAGCTGCACAATGAGGAGTAGACAAACGCCAGCACCGAGGTCACTCGGCTGGCCATAGAGACCCGTCAGGACGAAGACACAGGCTTGACCAAAAGATAGGATAATTGCGAAGAGCTTTTGCGCGGTCTGGTACAATTCGCGATCCGACTTCAGGTCGAGGTTGACATCGATCAAGTGTGTTCCGGCAAGCAGCTACATGACATCAGCATCTCACAAGCCCCCCTATATATCGCTCATACCTGGAAGACCATGCCTGACGATATGATAGGGGTGGTTCCCAGCTCCATCAATGTTCCTCGATTGCTAGCCAGCATCATCCGCAGCCAGTATATTGGGTCGGACGTATCTGATGATACAATGCCGTAGAGCGGCATTTGGCTCATGACCAGGAAGATCAACAGTGTAAGCTGGCTTCTCGTCAGCATGCTGACTATCGCAGAGCGCATTGTTGAGTATTGAATACCCCAGTCCACATCATCTTCTGGTTGAAGGGCACCTTGCTCTCCGGGGCTGCCACCTCCGGAAGGAGGGGCGTGAAAGGTTTTATCAGATCGAGGAATCGTACTGGGAGGGTTGTTAGTTCAAGTGCTCTTCTAAAGCTTGCAAGACCTACAGCCGCTCATCTTGACAAAGGGAAAAACGAGGCACTGGCCGATACCAAATGAAGTATTCTGTAGGAAACAATAAAGAAACCGCACAGATTCAAGGTCAGCGCGGGTGGTCGAAGAAAGGAGCAGGGTGGTAATCCAGTCTACTACTTTTTGTCGCACACTCTGTCCAGTTCAGGGTACGAGCTACATTCACGCTAAAATATCGGTAGCTGGTAATGTCACGTGTACGCCAAGGTATTCCTTGGCTCAATTGGTATTGCACTGGCAGCTCAAACACAGAGCATCTTTATTGCATCTCCAACTTATGAGTACGAGTAAGTAGTATTTGATACGATAGAGCCCTTGTTTTTGATTCGAAATCTTGTTGGAGTCCTCTGAGCTGATGACATTGAGAGGTCATTGAACTCTGTGACACTAATATATGTTCCAAAATGACTAATTCGGGTCCCAGCCGCGTGCTTCATATTTACGTGTCGTTAGCCTTGTTCGCAAGACCCGTTCCCAAAGTGACGAACGCATTGTGCCTATTATACATTGTACCGCTTCCTAAGCTACTGGTAGACCGTCGGCCTATCTTGTCAACCAAATTAATTCGCACTCTGCACCAAGATTCTTGTCGCTTGATTCGTTTTTATTGCACGATCATGCTCAGATGTTCCCTCTCCGAGGCTGTGCACTGAAAGCTGTAAGCATGGAAAGTGCAGAGTTCAATCTTGTGAAATCAATAGTTCTACGAAACCGTTGCCCATCAGATTAAACAAATCGACCAGACTCAACCAATACTTAATGCAACCATCTCAGCTTCTGAGCAGCTTCAATGATCTGCCAGTGGTTGCAATGATATTCCCTTCCGCCAAGGCAATCATATTCTGGACCGCTACTATATTATTCAAAGGCACCAAGTCTGTTGAAGGAGCTGGAAACCAACAAGATCGGTCTAAAGGTTACTCACAACAGAACGGCACAGTGTATTATCGTCGAGGGCGGTCCCATCTCTCAGATCCTTCAAGTTTATGCCACTGTATTTCTCGGCCCAGAGAATACTTAAATAACTGGTCGATGTAGAATGTCACTGCCTCCAAAGGGTTCAAATATAAGCTTATTGATTCTCACACTTCACGCTTCACATTGTCTGAATTCTCGTGTTTTGGTCTGTCCAGATTTGAACACTTCGAACATTGATTAGACTTTGTCTTTTGGTTGACCAATTCACGATGGGGCGTTGATTTGTTGTGCTGGCGCCTTCCGGCGGAACTCTCAACTGACCTCGATGTGGGCCGCATGCAAGGCTTCCAACTGAGCCGCACGCGCCATAAGGAGTGCCAGGTTTCCAGACAAATTTGTCACGCGATAAGGCAAGCCACATTTTACCAACTTCCAATAAGTACAGTGAAGGCCTTAGCAGGTTTAGTGCTCGTAGTCGTGTTGATTGCCTTTTTGTTAGGTCCAACGAATGATATATGCAGGAGGATGGACTGCATGTACCGCGACTGGTGAACAGGATTTCCTGCCCGTTCATCGTGTTAGATGTTCGTAGTCTGACATGTTAGGTACGAAGGCCGTGCATAGTGGTGTAATATGCAACCCTCGGTTATGATTAGTATGTGCATATGTATGGCTAGAGTGGCGCAACTCGTCACTTCACTCTTTTTTCGGCGTCCTGCCTGTTGTGCGAGGTACTAACTACGAATCTGTCCTTCACCGGTGCTGCGGAAGCGATGGTGTGGATTGCGGATGTCTGCTGCTGTAGCTCAATCTGTGGAAGGCAAACGTCAAGACCTGGTCAAGCACCTCATTCAGACGAGAAGCGGCTCCTGTCGGATGACATGGAGCTGGGAGGAACGAAGTAGATGAAGTTGCCCAAGGATTTACTCCCTCGACGCGAATGTAACGCGTCGACAGAAAGAGGCAGAGCTAGGAGAAGAAGCTGGAGAACATGTAACGTACCCAACTGTCATGTGCACGATTTTGAGGCCGATATCTCGGCCGATATCTCCGTTCCTACCAAATTTTCAAGCCACCAATTTCCGCTCGCCGCCGTTTAACGAATATTCATCCGAGGGCGGTGACCTGTTGATGTATTGTTTCTAGAACATTTTTCTTTCAAATCTATCTTCAAAATAGGACCAGCAACGTTCGCATAACAGCAATATGCTCCGAGAACCAAAACGCCAAGTAGTTTTGGTGCATTTGAGGGTGTAGTGCATATGACGGTTGGGTAAGGTACGTGGCTGGTAGGAAGGATTCGAAATCCATCAGCGCTGTCCTTTTGGCGGAGTGGTTTACGCATCCTTTTCTGTGGCTGGAAATGACAGCACCTGAGACTGAATGGTTGCCTCACCTTCTGCGTCTTTGGCGTGCTGTTCACCAATCAGCTCTGACGTAAGCCTAGCATCCCGGGCTTCAAGGTGCCAGTGGTTGTCAGGCCATATCTTGGTCAGGTGGGATACATCAATTAAGTGTGGTTCGAAACCCACAAGCGCTTTCCTTTTGGTGGAGTGGTTCATGTGTCCCATTTCTATCTTCTGAATTAGAGAGTCATCTGACAGCGCCTTTGATAATCCCACACGAAGTCATGTGAGGCGGAAGCCATTCCGCTGCATGGTGAGGATCGCTTGGCCAGGCAACTGCGGAAGTAGTGCAAAGATGAGATCAGAGGGATGTACCCAACCTTCCAGGGCATTGCCCATAGCTAGTGGTGAGTACTACTGGTCCATCAGTTTGAGACCAAATCTTACAAAGTACACTTTCTCGAGTCAGACAGTCATTTGATGGTCTTACTGGTATCCGATCCCCATCTCTCCGGAACTGCATATATACCGCAGGGCTACTCATCGCCGTGCTTCTGTTGGCGGAGAAACATGTCTACCGATAGCATGCCGATGGCATATTAATGCGCATTGGCGCCTGAGGGTGCCTCCCACGTCACGGGAGCATACGTAGTAGGTAGCTAAGCTCCAAGCTCATTTTCAGGACGTATAGTGTTGCCTGTTGGCCGGTGGGTTGCCTGAAAGAGCTTTGCGCATATTACGGCAGGAGGCATAAGTATTGTTAGCTTCAAACTAGAAATTTTGTATTTACCACAGGCTCAACGAATTTGCACTTTACTGAAACGACGTTAGTCTGTATGGTTCTCAGCACAGAGCCCATCATCAGTTTGTATTGAGAACTAGCTATCACTAGCTTAAGCTAACGATACTCATGCCTCCTACCGTGGAGGGTCCAAAACGGCTACGGACGGTCCATAGTCCAGCCTTGCACAATGAGATCGCAGCGGAGATCCGTGGGAACGATCACCACGACATCGGCTGATGGTGCGGGATATCCGCAAGCTGAAGTGACATGGTATCGATCATCCTATACCAGTCGTGATCATGCCATATCTGTTGGTGTCCCTGTAGAGAAGAAATGAGCTCGTTTACGTATCTCCATTAGCAAAGTGGCGGAGAAGGCAGCGACTATCGTTAGGATGCATTATCGCGCTGTGCAAGTACCCATATCAATGTTTTCATGGATCATGCTTTATCTCAAGAGATTTAGTCGCGGTGAATTACAGCTCAACACCAATTCTTTCCCGATGGTGTGGGGCCACTCGAGCCAAAACCCACAATAAACTAGGACAGCCTTGCGAAGCGTCTCATCGTTACTGCAGTTGGATATAAATGGGTAAAAGAAAGCGAAGGTGTGTCCGCGAAAGGCTTTGTTGAAATTGACGGGACACTGCATGCCAGTGCATGGGAAGAATGTTGGATGTCTTGGCCGCCTAGTTTTACAAAAGCTACATCGTACTAAAAATAAGCGTACATTGATGGTAATTTAGGCATAACTTTCAGAGGGGCTTTCGGGCCTTCTTCTGCTAAGTAGCCTGAGCGCTATCGGCCGAGGCCCATCGGAACAATTGGTGCTGCTCTTGGCACAGTACAAAAGAGCAAAATAACTGAGAATTATAACAGACAGACTACTCTACACACCATACCAGTTAATCTGTCGTCAAAAATCATGCCAAAAGCGACACTAATTGTTCCGATGGGCCTCAGGCCAAGCCACACAAAGGTGACCACGCTCGGAAGTTACCTCTTCAGGAAATCCAGACACGGGCGAAGCCGGTCATTGCACATCCAAAGGGCTCTCCTTAAGCAGGTCAAGGTTATACTGCCCTTTCTTCCACAGCGTTGCCTCTGTTTGCGTCGAGCAGTTAGAAATAGAGAAGTTCTGGATGTTCTTGTCAGAATCCCTGCGTATATGATACGTATCTGTTACGTATTAGCATGATGGTACAAGGGTCCCCGCATACAGAACGCACGAAACGCTCGTGTAACTGTTACGCCCTGTTATTTATGGCAGTGAGCATTGCTATACGAATTGAACGCCAAATGCTGTTTCTGAGCCGTTACAGTAACGCGCTTCTATAACTATTCGTATCCACAAATGCTCCCCTTGATAGAAGTAACTCAATCAAGTGAATTGGCACCCCCGTACGCTGTTTGCTACTACTTCTAACAGTTCTTGTATAACATACCCAAATAGTCAGGACTTGGCCAAGTCGTATGATTCTTAGATGAGAGCTTCGCGTCCTGGTGGTACTGAGTGGCTCCCTTTGAGCTTGCACAGTTCCCTATAAGACATCCCGGTCGCTCGTTGATCTCGGAAAAAGCTACGTGGCGAACGAGCCGGCGAGGAAGAGAGTCGATATACAACTTAATGCCTCTGTTACCAGAGTGACGATGTGAGCACTTTCGTCTGCACAACATTCGAAGGAGTCGTTCATGACGTCGGAAAAATTGACAAGCCAATACATGGATGGGTCCAGAAGCAAGGAAGGAACAATCGCTCAATATTGGCCAGATCTCGGTTGATGGCAATGATATTTTGGCGGTCATTTTACATGTCCTCAGGCCTCCGTGCCCATTGAGCTGGGACCACTTTTATCTGCACTAAACATGAAAATCTCTGGAGATGGATGCAGCTTGATAAGCATTTTCTACTGGCACTTTTGAATACCGATAAGGTGCTTTGTTCAGATCTCTTATATTGAATATATTAGAGTATGATTCAAGCATTAAACCTTATTTAGCTCTTTGAGTCATTAAAACCCTTTTCAACTTAAGAATGTTTGAAATATATTGCAACCCTCGTCTCTAACCTGGCTAGCTGTACACCAGTTAAACTAGTGGTGTGCCGGTCTAGTACCGGCATGAGTCTCCACGTGAGCCTGCAATAAATCGTCTTAACAAGCTCTATGCATGTCCGGAATTCCTGATTTATCTGCTGAGATTTTCGGTCTGAGTGCAATAGGCACGGAGCCCTGAGGGGCATGCACCAACCTGCAGTCCCCCATATTCTGATGGGACACTAGGGCATATCAGAATCCGTTGCCCACCTTTCTAGGGTGGGTGATCTCCCGAAGGGTAATGGGTTCTGATAACTGTGGATGGAGGTCCGGATCTTGTTTATTTGATTTAATGGGCATGTCGTGCAACCCAACATAGCTCCTTCGAGAGTGTCCAGGTCTGAACTCGAGTCATAGGTAAAGATACAATAAAGGCTATCTTCGGATTGTGTCTGGCAAGCCAATATTTTCTCTTTGGTTCGCGGCGCAAGCTTCTCCTCCGTCCAGTCGATTACAGCCCCACGATCTACCAGCAGTTGCACAATACTCGGCCACTCGTCCTCTTAAAACAATAGTCGTTTGGCAGCCCTAGCGTTTCTTCACACGACAAGGAGAGGTCTGCCAATCAAGAGCGGGCGCATTAACATCGGCACGACGGTCGACCAGTGTACGGATCAAAACCTCATCGACAGTTCTCGAGCTCCAGGTAAAACCCAATGTGGCATGTAGCAAAGTCGGTGCGGGTCCGCAGATGCCGTTGATATCTTCGCCAGGTTCAAGCAGTAAGTCTAATTTCCTCCCGAAATCTGGAATATGTGCAGAGCTCATATATGCACCCTTTCGAGCAGCGACGCACAAGAGCCACAGAGGCCCAACATTGCTGTCATTGCCCTCCAATCCAGTTGGCACGCAAAATAGACCTGGAGGGAAGTAAGTAAAATGCAGCTCGAACATTTCCCATGAGTCTTCTCTGATGCACCAACTAAGTTGGGGAGCACCGACCTTGGCACCGCGGCTGATAACCAGAGCACCGATGCGATACATGCGCCTGATTTCACCGTGCCCAGCATCAGTCTGCTTGGAGCATCCTCCACCTTTTTTCCTCCGGACTTTATCGCCATTCCTTCCCAACCCCTGTCATGGCGTATGTCTTTGCTATTGGGAAAGTATTGGCTAGCATTCACAGCATCTTTACAGCACAGTTCTAGACCATGCACTACCGCCAAATGATAAGCGTGTTCGACCACGGAGGCGGAATTAGGGGTTACGATTAGAGGACCCCAGGTCATCCGTGCAAGTTTTCTTTGGTGAGGAATCTCCAAAGCAATCTCGGATTGCCAGTGGGCCCCTATACCATCTAATAGCAGTTGTTTCTCAAGCATGGAATGTTTCTCCTCCGATGTACTTCAATTGCAGAACCAACAATTTCCCACAAACTGATGCTAATAGCAGAAACGAGCACCCATAACATCTCGGAAATAGCAGTAGGAGGAAATTTCATCCTCAGCTTCCAGTGCTCTGGCATGCTCGAACATATACTGGACAGCGTATTCAATCAGCCAAAAGCCTTGGCGGTTCTAAATCGTGAACACATTGGGCACTTTGTTATCTTCATCCACGCGCTCGTGGTCCCTTTCCTTGTGTTCACATGGTTCTGAATTGCATTGACGGTGTTCTTCAATGCAAACTACATGATTTCTGAGTGTTTTTGTCTTTAGCGCTGCTTGGATATGACGACTGCATATATCAAGCCACAAGGAATGTTTGGAGGCGAGCTCCCATCCATACGATCTCAGCCAGCCGGAGTCCATGAGATATGTCTTGACCGTTTCACGTGTCAGATTGACTGACCTTGCCTGATGTGGGTAATTCCCCTGTTCGTCGGTAAAATCCAGCAGACCACCAGATCGTGATTTGATTCGGTTGGAGAAGTCTTCACAACTGATTCGGTTCAGCCTTCGCCTCTGCTCCATGCGTACTTGAAGCATAGTTTCCACAGCGACTGTCAATTCTTTGACTTTGAGCGGACGCCTAGCGAAGCAAACAAACCAGAATATCAGGCTTCCTTCTTCTCGAAATTTTGGAGACAGGTTGTCCAGAATCCTTAAATACATGTCCTCTACTTTTGGGGAAAGCGCGGCCAAACGCTGATTCAACCCATCTGCTTGGTCGCCGTCAGCTAAGCCACTGATCATCTCGTCAGTAGCCAAGTATGCCCAAAGGAACATGCCCTTTGCTATTTCTTCTATCGATCTGGATGGCTGTTCATGTCTATGGGTATCTGTCGGTGGAGGACAGGCCCCTTGTATGGTCATCAGTACATACGACACTATCCCGGTTGAATTGTGGTCTTAGACTTGAAGACCAGGGCACCTTTCCATTGCCTGGACAATGAGCGGATGCGGACGGCTGGCGATACAGATTTAGATTCGTGGCTCTGCCCCACTGTCATGGGCCGCCAAGCTCTGTACTTGCCTCAAGAGGTCGGGTAAATGGCCTTCATATTCCTCCAGACAATCAACAAAGATGCACATACCAGTGTGTCCATTTGAATCAAATTGAGTCAAATAAACCAAATCAGTACTTTCGTCAAACCAAATCAAAGATTTTGAAATTTGACAAATTAGTCAAATGGAAGTCTTGGCGGAAAAGTCCCTTATTTTGAAATATCAAGGGCTGTTTTTGAAAAAAAGAGAAAAGTCTTGGCGGACTCTTTTTTGTGAGATCGAGATCCTTGGTAGTCCTCCTAACAAAACATTACTTACTAACATTTGATTACATTTGACAAGTAAGTCAAATCAAATCAAATCGACCTCTGGGATTAGATAAGCAAATCAGATGAGGGTCATGATTTGGTTTATTTGATTTGATGGATGCACTGAATCCACGGGCTATCGGACCTACTTCCTGGTGACCGAAGTGATGCTCGAACTCTTACGTTTGGATACGACTGACACGTGTGTCACTCCTTCGGAAAAGCTGCCGATCAGCACAGTATTGACTAACGTGGAAGATCTCTCATCAGTGAGCTCCTAGCGGTGCGAGCTGGATGCACATCTCGCCCTAATCTTTGTTGCCCATAGTCTTGGCGGTATTATCGTCAAAGAAGCTCTGGTCGAGTCCAGGAAACAAGGAACATACGATGCCACGAAGAGTCCTTGCCGTGTGTGCCGTGTGTGTGCGCTGTCATGTTCTTCGGGACCCCTCACAGGGGATCCAGTGACGTGTTTTGTGCTCACATGCTAAGCAGTCTTGCTAGCGCAGTACAGGCAGATACGCATACCGCTATCCTGCGAGGGTTGGATCCATTCAGTGGTAGTTCTAAGCTGGAGTCATTAAGAAGAGATTTTCTTGATTGCATCAATCAGGATAAAATTTTCGTCCACACATTTCAGGAAAGTAAAGGAAAGGTGGGCTTGGCATTTGTCAGTGGCAAGGTACACTTCCCATCCCAGTTCGCCGGAAACAAGGGACTCGCACCATCAGGTCGTGCCAGATGCTTCATCATCGTTTGAATCTGGAGAATCTGAGAGTATCGACACGATCTCTGCAACCATATGAATATGTACCGCTATTCGTGTAGTAACGATGATGGCTACCGAAAGTTCCTTGCAGGCTTAGCGATTATTTCGGAAAAATCGAAGACGAACCTAGACAGCACACACAGCAATTCGAAGGTTCGTAGCCCTGGGGTTACTCCAATATTATAGTTTACGCATCTGTTTGGCCCTGTACCTGTCTGATCTTTCCCTGTGCAGAGCTTTCCAAAGATCTTCACTACCCAGCTAGACTATCGTGGCAAGGCGAAGTGTTAGATCCGGACCCGGCCACGGTCCGTTGGTTCTGGGACACGGATATGTCAGAGGACTTGAAGTCTTTCAGGCAATGGCTTTCAGGCAATGGGGCCATATTCTGAATAGATGCACTGGTGCCCCCCACGATACTACCACTTGGACTTTCTGGACTTTCCACATCCAGGCTTGCAATCGGTATGTGAATCCAGGGGATGCCGGGAAGTGGCAAATCAACACTCATGAGTCACATAAGTCGGAATCCAGAACTTTTGCGGTCGATTCAAGCAAGACGAGAAGTGTAATGGGTTGTCACTCGATTTTTCTTCGACTTCCGGGCAAGAAGGCTATCTCCAACAGTACCGAGGGTCTCCTCAGGCCCTTGCTTCACAGCTGGGTCCAACATGATCATGCTGTAGTGCCCCAAATTCTGAAAGTCAGTAAAGTGGTTAATGACTGCACTGATCGCCTTGAATTGACAGAATTTAGGCTTTGGAAGGCGTTGGAGGCTGTGCTCAAAACTCGTCGTTAAGTATGACTGTATATTTCTTGGAGCTGCGTTCTATTTTTCCAGAATAATTTCGACTTCTTTGAGGCTTGAGCCAACTTTGGATTTACTGCCTTTTCTTTGTAGCGCCAGGTTTCATATGGATGGCCTCCCAGGCCATGGACGAAGACAACATCGGCAACGATGGCTGATTTGTTTTCTGGCTCATATACTGTTGTCAGTCCGAGACGCTTGATATGAACAGGCTTGCGGACAATGGCCTCCGCATCGTATTGTGTGGGCTCCGGTCTGGGGTTGCTTCGTACTTCCCCCACGATAGTGACACGATGTCCAGGGTTGACCGGAGCTGATTCTGAAGAAACAGCCTCCGGCCTGGGAATAATAGCCCCTGAGACCATAGATATGTCGCGTTAGGCGATGTCCTGGTCTTCCTAAGTGAAGGGCGCTGACCGATCCCACAGCAAATCATAACATCACCGGGGAATAATCATGAAGCAAGAGACATCTCCCTATTTAATGGCTTGTGTTGTCGTGGAATTAGTAGAAAACTGCCTAACTAGGGGTTGGTGGGACATTTTAACACTACGTAGTAGTACGAGTCGTCGTGCTTCAAAAGTTTTCAAAATACGCTAAGATAAGTGAAAGCTAGCTTTTATTGTACTAGCGTGCTGTCACTAGGCGGTGAGGGCGTAAGGATAGTCAGAGAGCACTGCAGTAAAATAATCCACTTCGTGGAAGCTTCGCCTGCTTCTTCAAACACAAACACTGCCCCAAAAATAGATCCGGCTTTGGTTGTGATGTTCAACGAATGTTACCAGCCAAACGATACCAGCGTCGAGCTAACATCACTTCTTCCTGGTATCGTATGGAGTCGTGCTCCAAAAGCTGTGCAAGTACACTAATATTAGCGCCAGATACTACTCCAGAATAGCTGTTCTAGCGCTTATACGAATTTGTATGGGATTTAGAACAGGGATTACTCCTCCTCGCTCTCAATGTCAGAATACTCCTCATCGTCGCTATTCTGCAGAAGAGGACGAGGAACAGAAGGGTTGTTTTGCCAACGAGAAGGAGGATGTGATGGATGGAGCATTTCCTCTGCCCTGGCGCAGGCAATACACGTGACCAGCCACGTGCTCGGGTGGCAACGCCGATGGCATTATCCGCGGCGGTAAGCGGGACTCTTGCCGTTAGGATACGATGCCGTCAATAGAGGCATTCGTACGGCATGTTGCTCCCCGGGCAGATACCATGGAACGGCAGATTAGTACGTCCCCCTTGGGTATGTACAATCTCCTCGAGAAGGAAGCTATCGCTGCTGGTCACGCGGATGCTCCGTTGGGTCTTCCGCCAGGTCAACTATCAGTGCTTTTGGCAGTCGGTAGAGGAGTATATGGATAGGAGCGCTGGCCACACTGTACATAGATTCCCCAGCTTATGTTTTAGCAATTTATGGACTGTTGATTTGCTCTAGATCCGAGCCATTGCAGAGGAGGAGGAGAGGCTGTATATTGAGTAGGATGAGTTCCATGGCCATGGCCATGACCTGTTTTTGCGTACGCTCCGAACAGCTGAGGCTATTAAGAGCTATGAAGTGGAGTTTCTGCAGCCATTGCATCAAAATTTGAGTTCAAAATGCCTCGAAATAGGCAGCAAATTAAGCATTAAATTTGAAGATAATTCGCAAGTGATACGCAAGCTCCTCACAGTCGAATTTGCTGTCAATATTAGTGTAGAACTATTATTGAATTTGCTGTTCAATTCGATGCTGAATGAGTGCCTGATGCGTTGTTCAACTGTTATAGGCAGCTCTTAGGGCCACCAAGCCGCCATACAAATTAGTGTCTGTACTACGGTAGGAGGCATACTACGGTACCAGGCATAAATATTGTTAGCTTCAAGCTAGAAATTTTGTATCTGACGTCGCCTTGACGAAGACATCCCTTACTTGAAAAAGTATTAGTCTGAATGGCTACTAGCTTGGGCCAATCACAATCATCACTGAGGTGTCAAGATTTCCTAGCGCTCCGGAGGCCGCCGAGGCCTTGTATCCAAAACCAGCTGCTACTAGCTCACGCTAACAATACTTATGCCTGGTACCGTAATATTGAATGTAACCCTCTCCACTAGTAAAATTGTTATTAATGACCTTCGTACAGATTCCTTTGCCGCGCTTGTACGAATGACGTATCACCCTAGGTGGTCATTCACCACGTTCGCTGCCACATTAAGCTTCCTCTACTGATTCTATCTCATTCTACAACTACTCCAATTAATGCCAGCAAGATGCCAGGCAGTTATAGATGCCAATGGGATGCACATTTGATGTAAGATAGATAGTAGATTAGTCCTAATTGAGCGGTTTTGTGGCGTTCTATCTTAGCGTTCCAAACTGTTACTAGGGCGGGGGTTACATTTAATATGCCTCCTACCGTAGTACGAGGTCTAAGCAAACAGCGCCAATGACGCGCTAATATTAGCCAACTTTCGGGCACGAATCCGTACTACATACACTGTGGGGTTGTCCACCAATAAGTACTTCATACAAGACTATTTCGTAATATCCTTGGCAGCGTTACAGCAGTGGGATTTGGTTTTACAAGAACTTATCAATTGTGAGCGTTTCGAACAGAGGTGTTGGATAGGGGGAGGTCTGGATGGTGGCGAATCAGGGGTGAGGATGAGGGCTGGGTACTGCCCAAAGCCAGAGTTGGGTCGATGCCCAAATGTGACTACTTCTAGGAATTACCTCTTCGGGCAATCGCAAGCTTCAGCTCTGGAATAACCCTTCAGAGGATCTTGGGTGTAATATTATGTATGACGCTGGTTCTTGCTAGCAGCGAAGCCTTTTCGCTGTGATAGCCACTCTCGCAGAGTTTAACAATATCGTGGGCTGATTGCTGCCATTTGTGTCTCAATAGCTCCCTTTCAAATCTGATCTTCGATCCCCTGACAGCCTCACAAGCTCCCTTTGTCGATCAAAAGCCAGGTGCGGATTCCGGAAAGTGGCAATGGTCATCTACCAAGGCTGGCCTCCTAATATCACGACCAGAGCGACCTCCCATCACAGTGGTAACGCTGTGAATGGCATGAATTGATGGGATAATACCAGATATCCAATTCCATGTCAACAAAAGATGCTAGGAACCCACCACCGCAACCATACAGCATGCTGTAAGACAGGAAAAGGCTGGTGAACGTCAAGCTGCACATCATGCTTCTTGGACTACTCCGTGATGAGTGCATCCGAATCTTTGTGAGCCACTGTCACGTTACTATCTTGTCTAAACCAACTCCCATCTGTCTACCAAATCGCTCGGTAGTTTTTAATTAGTCCTCTTGAGCATAATCATGCACAGCACCCAAGCAAGAACACATGCTTGTCTGTTTTTGTATTGATCATATGTGACGATTGTTAGATTGTTGTCCACGGCAGTGTGGGATCGGGATTCACTGCTTTTATCCGAGGTTGAGCCAAACCAACCACACAACTTATCGTTGTTTTCCAGCTAAATTCCTGGTGAAACATCAAGAATTGAATGTCCAGTGTGTGAGAACAAAACAACTCGCCTATCTGACATAGCGGAGCACTGTAGGAACAAGGGTTGTCGGGGTTCTCATGAAAAGCTCTTAGTACCTCAGAGGTTGATTCATCTGCCGTTTGAGATGTGGCCAAAGTCCGAGAGAATGTGACATATTAGTGGGATGTAAAATACGTTTCGCTGCGGTGAGATGGGCCTCTAGCCGGTACTCCGTAATTACTTCTAATTTCTTCCGTCTGCCGCGATAGGTCCTAGCCCCTTTTTGGGCTGGGCCGAAATTGAACGGATTGGCGGACATTAATTTTTTAATGAGCTAGAAAACCACCAAGGTGTGGTTTCCTCACTCCGTCTGTGGATCACCCAGATATTATTACCACTGGCAGGGTAAACATATCACAACCGCTAGATTACTCTCCAAAAAGACGGATCCTCATGTGTCGACCACAAAATTGTGGGCCTGTAACTCACCGATCCCAGATGTTCAAAACGCGCGTTACCAATGCAGGCAGTGCTTCGTCAGCTTTGGTCCTTCCACAGATAACTATAGGCCCTTGACTGTGGACTTTGGAAACAAGGATTGTAATCTTCTCGATCAGCAAAGCCTCCGCACCTAAGAGGTCGCTTCTGTTAAGCTGTAACAGGGTTTGAAGTGGGTGTTGGGGCATTGGAGGAATCTTCATGGAAAGCCGCCATGTGACCCGTCAGCGTCGGCGATACGGGACGTTCATTCCTGCATTCCGACTGGTAGTTTAGCAACAAGGTCCCATAGAGTGGTCTCCGGCACGGCTTGGCTACCCAAAAACCGCTTTCGCGATGCTGGACTCGTGAGGCGTGCACCGCCAGACCAACATCACACAAGGGAGTGGGATGCCTGTGATGTTATGGAATAGCCATTAGTTGTAGATGTTTGTTAACCATGGTCCAACCAAGCTAAGTGTTAATGACGAGGACAGCCTCCGCATGATTGTGAAACCATGGAGGAACTGTCTGCAAGGACTTGTACATTTGGCAAAAGATGCCTACCCTACCGGCTTTTATTGGAAGGATCCGGAACTTGCTGAAGCGCTGCTGGTTCTTGCACCAGGACTGGGACCAACGTTGAGCTCAGAAAGGACCAAAGTGCACGTGGTCGAGATCGGCCGTGTGTGCACATATTGTTGCCTGATACGCCCACTGAGAAGCGGTGGGGAGGTCAGTCCAACATCCAGTCCGTTGACATTTACTACACCGTTTCCGGGGACTGACTGGTATGATGTTACTAGAACACCCCGTCAGGTCGCAAATTTGCCTAGACCTGTCCGCACTCGAAAGCTAGACGCACGAGTCTCGACATAAGATGCCGGAGACTGGCTTGATTGCGGTTACTCTTAGGATCCTACCGGCACGGTGATAATTATCCCGAGATTTGCTGGCGTCAGGCCTCGGATCATGCGATGGCACAATTCGCCTTGCAGAGAAGGACATGTGGACTCACTTGTTAGTCTCATACATTCCTTGCCGTGGTAAACCTTGACGTGTATCATATCTCGCACAATGGAAACGAGATGGCCGTTGCCTTGCACTAGCTGGCGTTTTCTTGTCAAGTGTAAGGGCAAAGATTCAGGGCTTGCTGCCAATCGCACAGCGAAAAGAAGGGACCGCTAGCAATGTTTTGGCTTTGGCCAAAAAATAGCATGCTTTGAACCAGCGGCCAACCTAACGCTTGACATCCCTATCAAGTGGGTTAGCAATCCTGCCGTGCTTCGAGGAGGCTCCCAGTCATGGGCCCACAGATGCTTCGCTGGATTGCTCCATCATAGCTTGGTTTGGTGTTTCTCGGCGTCTTTAGCTGCCCTTAGTATTCTCTCTCAGACGATGTTCGAATGAATAGAATCGTCCTGCTAGCCATTACAGGCTGTTGACACGACGCTTTCCATGCGCTCTTTTGTTCTTGACCTAATGCCAACCAGCGCGCCTCACCCACTTCGGATGACTCAATTCTTGGTCAGCCAGCAGAGGCATCGTGCTTTCCTTTGATTAGTTGCGAACTTACATTTTGAGGAGCTATTCATACTTACCATTTTCTCTGCACCGCGTAGGCTGGGGTGACTCCATCTGAGGCACAACCTGACGGCTGCTCCCAGCACTCTATCAGCTCTAAAACGTGACCAGTTAGACAGCGAAGAACGCTCCGATGAGGGCTATATGGCCGTGCAATGCATTATGGCCATTTTCGGCAGCTAATGCTTCAACCGTGACAACGCCTTCAGTGTTGCAAATTTCCTTCTAAGTATTCAGCCTTATCAGGATTTAGACGGTAACCAGGGCCGCCCTCACAGTTTTCAAGCGCCGTCGAAGTTCAGCGAGCATGATGTGCAAAGAAGCAGTAGCTTTACCTGGCTCTGGCAGTTATTTCCATCACAAGGGATATATATTGTTCATAGTAGGTAGCTGCCGAGAGCTAAGATGGGCTCCAGTAAATACTGCATAATTTTGTGCCAATCGACTGTTCTGGGATGATGGGCTATGAGGGCTGGCATGATTCTTGTTATTTACGCCCCTAAAGCAAGACACTACAGGCAATTTCATTCAAGGCAATTCGTCAATTCTACTAAAGACTTGACAAGAAGTGAAGAGCAGCGAAGGCAACGCGAAAGGCTACCATACTGTCTGATGGTGTGATCGATGGTCGTCACGATGGACCATGGTCACAAGGCTGTGATCGTGGCTACTCTTGCTAACGCGAGGGGCTGCAGAATACGAACAGCTGAGAGGATCGTCAGAACGTGTCAAAACTAAATGTACTATATATTGCTTGGAAAGGCTCTTCTTTAAACCAATGCCTCAGTACAAGAGACGAGACCGATGCAGCAGTTGTGCAGAATACGTAAGGTCAGATGTGGCATAGTGGAATCGCAACAACCAGCTTAAAAGGATTAGGGCTCTTAATATATGTGATCTTGAGTACTACACAAAGAGCCTCGATCCGCCCTACCAGATAACAGAATGAACATTGCCTTACCTTCCTGTCACAGGGGTGAAGAGTAACATGTCAAGAGATGGGGGAATGCGGTCTGTCGGGGTTTGCGGCCATTTGCGGCCATTTGCGAACCAGAAGGCAGCCACACTAATTTAGTGGTATCTGTAAGAGCCGCATTATGGGGGCATGCAGGCGACCTGAAGGCAAGAATGAGAACCTGCTCATCCTACTAGTTGTTGTTTATGCTAACTCCGATAGTTGATTTGCCTGCCACTGATGCTGTCAGCTGCCTTACTGGAACTATTGTTGATAATACTGCTCATTCTCTGGATTTTAAAATTCCTGCTGCCAGTACTTTGCACAATTTTCTGCCTCAGGCCAAGTTTGTGGCCATTTCGAACACCATCCACACGTTTTATCTATTTCCAGCGTGGATTTCCAGCGTGGAATGGAGCATGAATTCTCTACTGACTGCGACTACCCTGGGCCGGAATTTTCAAAGGATGCGAAACGTTCTTCCACGCAAAGGACAGGAGCGGGCTCCCTCCCTTCATCCCCGGTCGATAACTATAATGAAGAAAAGGAAAAGGAAATTTTTTTACAGCCAGAAACTCGTCCCATTACCCAAGAACAATTAGTGAATGAAGTAAAAGGTATATTGTGACAACATTCGTGTCTATACACATTCCTGCCATCTAAATAACTCTGCTCCTAGGAATTTACGCTGGTTTGGTCATGGTAGAAAAGAAATGCGTGGAGATCGACCAGCAGCAAGCCGCGACAACCAACAAACTCACCAACGAGCAATGGCAAGCATTGATCGCTCTTCACCGGACGCTGCTCCACGAGCACCATGACTTCTTCTTAGCAAGTCAGCATCCTTCTTCATCACCTGCCCTGAAAAGATTAGCAACAAAGTACGCAATGCCGGCGCGTATGTGGCGTCATGGCATTCATAGCTTCCTTGAATTGCTCAGGCATAGGCTACCAGATTCGTTAGACCATATGCTGTCTTTTGTCTATTTAGCATACTCTATGATGGCGTTACTTATGGAATCTGTACCTAGCTTTGAGGAAACTTGGATCGAATGCCTAGGAGACTTGGCGCGATACAGAATGGCAATTGAGGAAGCGGACCTAAGGGATCGCGAAGTGTGGGCTGGTGTGGCGAGGATGTGGTATGATAAAGCGGCCGACAAGTCACCCAACGTTGGAAGGATCCAGCATCATCTTGCGGTGCTTGCCAGGCCGAACATTGTGCAACAGTTGTTTTACTACTCCAAGGCCTTGGTAAGTGTCATCCCATTCCCTAATGCCAGGGAATCCGTCATGCTTTTGTTCAATCCTTTTCTCGCGACCGGAGAGATAGCTAGCCAGCGATACCCTGTTGTGGAGGCGGCATTCGTAAAGGCCGCCGCTATCCAATTCACGCGTGGTTCTATTGAGATGTATAATGGGTTGGTTGAACAATTCCTGTTCGCCCTCGACCGCCATATTGGAAGAGTAACAACCAAATTTCGCGTCCAAGGACCGGAGCTCGCTTCCACAATATGTGCAACTCTCTTCGATTTTGGAAATGTTGACTCCTATCTATGGAAAGCTTTTTCTTCGTACGACGCACAGCTCCAAGCTACCCTCGAAAACCAGAAGGCTTCTACCGGTCAGACGATAATTTCAGCAGAACAGGAGGCCAATTTGAAGGAGGAACAGCTTCAAGCATACTTCAGATCAGTAAATGATCGCACAGAACATCCCAAGGCCGTACATTCCTCGAGGGATTCAACGACCAAAGATGCCACATTTTCAGGAGCTCAGGATGCCGTTGCTCATGCCTGTCATTTGTTTGATTCAAGTATCGAGGTGGTCTTCCAGAGAGTGGGTGACAGGAACGTTGTTCCTTTTGCCCACGTCGTGCTCGCCTTCTTGAAAAGCCTGGCCCATGTTCCTGACGCGATGCTATATGTCGAAGGGCAGGTACCATGGAAAAGCATTGTTACTTTCCTTAATACAATAGGAAGGTCAGGAGCTCTTAGCTCTCGGTATGAGGGCTCTGCGTTTCCGCAGCCATTGAGCGGTACTGGCCGGCAACTGCCAGAGGACTTCATCATGAGAGGCTTGGTCTGGGCCAAGCACTACTATCCTCCAAGATTTTTCGAAGGCGAGGTCGTGGATGAGGATGAACGTACCCTGGAGCTCCCAAGTCATGCTGCGCCTCGAGCCGAACGCTGTCTCTGGTTAGGTATTCAGCTCGCTTCTGTAAGCTTCATTAACATCAAGAATGCTTCGTGATGAACACTGACAGAATTGATTTAGCTCGGGCGATGGATCAGATACGACTCGCAGACACAGCAGTTTGCTGTTACGGAGTTTGTGCGGGGTCTTGAATCTTACCGGACCTATACGTTCGATACTCGATCACCTACTATGTCGGTGGAGCGCGAAGACACCTTCATGATCGATGTCAAATCGTGAAAGAATCCCAGAAACTCTGTCCGTACCTTGTCGTACGGTCTAGCTCATCACTCATCTTTCACTGTGTTGGGATCGATCAAGTTGCTTCAATCATTTCCGCCAGAGACCGGTCGGCATTCTCGGCGTAAAGAATCTTCTCCGGTCCCAGCGAAGTTTTTCACACAACAGTGTCCCCCTGAACATGGAATAACCGGCACGTCCCTGCTTGAGAGTGGCGGATTTTTTCGGGCCAGCATCTCGTCAGGCCTTCGGGAAGTCCCATCTCTGGTTCCCGCCGTGATCTGAACTACTGGGATCCTCTCCTGGCATGAATAGTCCTATTCTATCTCAGGGGGACACTGTTGTGTGAAAAACTACGCTGATTCACCTCTTTCCACTTTCGGCATTACTTCTGCAAAACCTCTGGTATGTTCTAAGTAGCTGTTTCATCCCTTAATCAATCCAGCTCACCCTCTTGTGGCCCCACAGCCTTCATTGGATTTGGAGTTGTCCCGGAATCTTCCTTGTTTGGGTCTAGCTATGTGTCCTCGACTTGCCTCACAACTAAATCGCGAAATATTCCTTACTAGAATCGGAGACGGTTCGACTTGTTGTCCCGGCCACTCGTTCTGCGAATGTCCCTATCGGTAGTACGCTGAGATACACCAGAGTTAAAGGGGGGTGTTATTACATCCTCCTAAAGGCTGGCAATTCTAAGCATCCATCACAACCTCTATGGATTCGACCTGAGCAACCCCGTAGCGGATTGCACTCAATCGCGGCTTGCATCACCATGGGCTAGTCAAGCAATTCTGAAGGACATCATTCTGTTATATGTTGTGTTATGCTCGACAGCAGCTAGCTTTGAAACGTGTGTACTACCTTACCAAGCAGACGACTTCCTTAATAAGCAATGCCGGATTGCAGAGACCTACATATGTAATAGATCCAGATATCAATGACAGTTTTTTGCAAGAAAACCAGTCCAACGCGTTCTGTTCTGAGTCAGACCGCCACCTTGAATGGAAAGCCATGAGGCTCACAATTGGCAAATTTTCAGAAGCTGATGTCACGACGGCTCAATGCAAGCCCACGCAATTTCAGGCAACTCTATGAACGATCCCGTCCCAGAGGGGAAGAGAACAGGGTGATGATCATATGTATACACTGCACCACCGTCCGGTGATCCAGCTCCTGTTCCCACCAATCATTGCTCGAGCAGAAAGCCACCAAGGCTTCGACCCCACTACGAAACTGCGGGTTGACCAAATCAGTCTCGCAGCCTCCTAACTCCCGAATAACAACCAGACACGAGTATGTTTAAGGTGGATGCTTTCCAGATTTCATAGGAAGTTGCCGTTTGGAGTTTGGGCTGCGATATCTTGGAATGTCAACTATCGTCCTCCAATTGCTGAAATAGCTGGTCATCCAAATATTCATTGAGGCAGGCATCTTACACCTGCATGTCTACTGCCGCCTTGCAACCCTTTTCGAGAGGTGTCTCAGCAACTTTCCGATGAATGACATGGATCTTCAATTTTGTCTCTGGCTCTGAACATCCTGGAGACGAAAACAACATGGCCTGATGGGATGGGGGGCCCCCTTTGCTGCAACTGTCTGTCATGTTTGATTATTGCCCAGTGCTGGGTCGAATTATCGCTTATGAGCATTTTAATGTGCATGCGGCGACATACCGAAAGATGGTGGTTGGCAGCATCACCGTATGCACGACCTGTCTCTGCGGTAGCCATCCGAAGCGCACCGAAGGCTATATGATGACTGCAGCTGGAACAAGCTAAGGTAGGTTTCACCAGGCTGCCTACTTGTTCTCCTCTGATTGGATAATGTCGACTCTTGCTCTTCAGTTGTGAGGAAATGCTATCGTTGAGCCCTATCATACTCGATTATTCCATGCATTCCGTGCGCGTAAATACTGGTTGCGTCGTCTTACATATTCTCTGAAACTGCACGGTCAGAGCTATCTGCAACCCGGGCAGGAAACTAAGATTTTCTTTGTGATGTCGAAACAGTTCCATAATCCAATCTTTCCGCAGTGGTCCGTCATAGCCACTTCCTTCAAGTTGAACTCCACTGTTGAGTGCCGTAATGGACCCTCAACCAAACAGTGGAAGGCATTTTGACTGCAAGTCACCTGATCACGACATATCCCGGTCCCAGTGCTTTGGCTACCCGCATGAGGCGACGGGTGTCCTTCATTCCTTAGGTTACAGCATTTCCCCATATCCGTCTGCAAACCTACCATAAAGTACATGGTGAGACAGACTCCTCAATAATGCAAGTCTGCCTGTGGTGCTGTATCAGGTCCGCCAGGCTTCACCAAGAGCAAACCAAATTATCTGAGCCACCTATTCATAGCATCACGATTCACATCATGTATGGCAGAGAAGATGCATACGGGAAGCTCAAGCAGATACAAATGCGGGTAGAGCAACTTGATGCCTTTGATAGGTCATCAAGGCATCGGTCTCGATTCCGCCTGATTGCAAGAAAACAAAGCACAGACAGCCCAAGCCACACGAAAAAGGGGGAGGCTGAGGTGCAGCCTTGCCATATGCATCATCTTATGGGGCGTCAGCAAGGAGACATAAAGTCACATGCAAGGGGGGATGAAATGGAGATGGAAATACATGGAAAGCGAAAGGCCACATGATTGGGTCGAGAGAGCTTTGTGGATCTCAACAGCGAAGGCAAGGGAGGAGGCACATGGATGTAAGAGTATGTAGTAGCAGCTAATCTCTCGGAGCGTCGAAGTCTCATCCCTTTCCTCTCTTCCAAGAAAAGACAGTCTGGACTCTAGCAGTCTTCCTACGCTCAAGATAGACTGAGACTTGCTTGTGCGTACCTCTTTGTTGCCATCCGTGAGCGTGAAGAACTTGCTTCGCTTCCCAGTGGAGCTACAGCATCATGTCTGTAGGTTGTTTGAGTGCGAGCATCGCGGCAGCTCCGAGGTCGGCTGCTCTCCGTGTTAGAATTCTGCACGATCCAACCACACAACCTCGGTGAACAGCATCAATGAGTACGTAACTACGTGCAGCAGCGCAATGAAGCCAAATATTCCAAGCCTCGTTTAGAGTTTGCGATGTCTTTGAACTAAGCTACTGAAGAGGATTGTGACTACTTCAGCTGAGTTCAGGGGTTTGATGTTAGTAAGCAACGTGATGGGCATGATTCAGGACGGTGACGGTGGTTTATGTTCGAGCAATGTCAATTTGTCAATGTGTTGAACTCACTCGGTGTGAAACACTTTATGGCCTTAGATTGATGCGACAAGGTGTCTGCGGTGGCTGGCGGTGACTCGCTATGCTTGAATAATGTGTCCTCGAGTGGCGTGTCAGTCGATCAGACTTCACTGAAGAAGCAAGCATTCACACAAGGTATTGAAGAGCATCTCTCATCGCGCTTCCTTCAAGACTTCACTCTACACAAGCCTGTCTAATCAAGCATATGGATACTGACGGCATGCACTGGCTTGGTCGCTATGGCACCAAGTACCACAGGTGGCAACAGCTTCACAACTCGTCGGCAGAGACATGGTACCGTCCCATCGGCCTGGTCGAAGGCTTGTTCGACCGAGACGGTATGCATGGCGAAGGCACCGCGGACGTCAATACTCTTCTCGGGGCGCAGCTTTCAACAGACATGGAGCCAGAGGTTTTGCGGAGAAAAATTCTGCTCGCGTGGACGGTCCTCAGGTTCCAGCACGTTTTACTCTCGGCACGAGCGCTTTGCAGAGAGGACTTTTTGCCGCGCGGCGCGGGCTCGCCGAAGGATCGATTCTTCGTCGTTGAGAGGCCTGGGAGGGTGGATGAGATGGTGGAGGAGGCATCGCGGACGATGGACTTTGTGCAAGATCACTATCATGAGGTCGACGTCGACGATTTCTACACCCATGTCATGAACACAGCGAGGGTCTTTGACAACAGCAAGAATCTGGCTAGGCTCTTCATACTACCGCTCAAATCTGTGTCTGATGGTCGGCTCCTCTTCCAGGCCATCTCAGTCGTCGCCCATGAGATCGCAGACGCGCTGACTATCTACCGCTGGCACGCTCATTTCCTCAGCCTGCTCAACACGCCCATATCGGTGCTAGAAAAGCAAGCGGCACGGCTCTGCTTCGCATCATCATCCGACCTCAGAAGCCGTCTCCCCCCCGCCCAAGAAGACCTCTACCCTCCCATCACCGGCAACCGAGCGCGCCAACGCTGGTTCTGGGCCATATCCCGTATCTTGCGACACGTCCGCCGTCCACCACCGCCGTCCTTCCCCAACCCACTGTGTCGCAAGACACGCCTCAAAAGCGCCGAAAGACTGCCACGTCACTACCCAGCATTACTAGACTACAACAAAACCCCACCTGTGAAAACCTACTCGGTCACAGCGCCTCGCTCTCCCCCCGCGCAGCCTCACGAATCCAGTCCCTCTGCCGCTCAGCCAACGTATCCATCGGCTCGGGCGCCTTCGCCCTTGTGGCGCTCGTCATGATGAAACTCTACGAGCAACAACAGCAACAGCAACAAGTCGGCACCCAACCGAACCCTCCATCGCCTCCGCCCCCCTTCGTAGCCTCCTTCCCCCTCAACCCGCGCCCCTTCCTCACCCAAGCAACGACCGGTCAAGAATGCAGCCTCGTGCTCGCCTTCTCCGATGGCCTGACCCTTCCCTTCCTCCCCACCCC